GTTTTTTGCAAAGATTTAGCATGCGATGGGTTAGGTGTTGAATTTAGAATACTACGCACCTTGTAGTCATCCGAAATCCGTTTCCTACGCTGAGCCCGTTTAAATGATTTAGATTTTTGTGCTTCCAGATTGCTTCCTTGTAGGTGACCGACTGCGCCAAATGAAACGAATAAATAATTTAAAGGGGTGACGTTGCGTCGCCACACAATAAATTATTTGTAAAATCGAACTAAAGTTAAGAGGAAGCTAACAGAAACAGATAACATCAATGGTTCGTAATGGACTGACCGAAGCATCAGGTTTTATTAACAGCAACAATAATAACAAAATAAATACAGTGGTGCCTTAATACAAAAATAAAATATTACTTATCGTTTCAATATTAAATGAAATTTTTTTTATTAAATTAGAAAAATAACAGTATATGCTGAATTTATAGTAGATTATTGGGTGAACATAACCCAGGAAGCACTAGAAGAAACCCTATCTTATTTATTAGAGTGAAAAAATTTGTAATTCTCATACATATTTTTTTATCTTGATGCAAAATAAAGGTATTAATTTTATTATAATATTATTTTTTTTCTGTTGCCACTTTCTTATGTCTCATTGAACCGATTTTTATCAACGATATGTCAAATGATTACAAATTGTAGTTGAAGACAACATTACTCTTTAAAATTGAAAAAAAAATTTTCTCATACTCTGTAAATGGGGATTTTTTTTGTTATTTTAAAAAAAATTTTGTATGATTTTTATACTGGGGAGATTTAAAACTTGAAACATATATTTAAAGTATAACTTAATTTTAGAAAATAGTACAGAAATACTTTGTTTTATAAACGTATGTTAAATACTATATATAAATATTATAAGTTAAAAAATTCATATTTATCTCAGAGATTTGCATTTTATATTTGTAAAGGCTCCCGAAACCAAAATTGTAATTTTAGTGTAAAATCCGTCATTTTTCGTGTTATAGTTTTCTACTGCATTTTTTTAATTATTTATGTCTATGCACTAGAAATTAAACATTAAAATAGTATAGGCATATAGGATTTAACTTTCTTTTACAAAAAACAATAATAAATAAATAAAACTTAAGTTGAGAAATATGTTCTGGAAGGATTTTTTTGCGCCTTTAATGTTCATTCAATAAGTATATTGAAAGAATGAGGGCTGCTTTTCCAAGAAAAATGAAAAATGATTTATCAATGGTTTATGAAAAATTTCAAAATTATCTAACAAAGATCAAAAACTATCAAATTTTCTTTCCTTTTTTTTTTTCATCGATTCCAGTATATATATATATATTCTAGATTATATCATGCTGTGACAGTATTAGAAAAGTAGTATACAAAGATTTTATTATTATTGTATACAATTTTTGTTGTTAAATTTGTTATCTTTAAACAGAATTATACATGTTCAGTTCAATTGGGATGAGTATAAAATGTTATCTAAGAATATAACTTGAAGTATGGTTTAGACTATGTATGTTAAGCCATTTTATTGTTTTCAATTACATTTACATTGATCATTTTCCTTTCTTAATGAAGATTATGAAAACAAGTAGTTAATTTATGAAGTTATCTGTGGGATGCTATAGAGATAGTTACTAATTTTTTAAAACCAACTTTAAAAAATAATAATCATGTCCAGCCTTGCTTACATTTGTGATACGCCTTTTCCGTGGAGACAAAATATACAATAACTTTATATTTCTCCATAAGTTATAATATTAAATTATTGAATATAAATTTCATGCTAAATTTAATTACAAAATAAGTTTTTATTTATGTATTACACTTATATAACTTGTAGTAAGAATATAATTAAGGAAATAGGAGTTGAATGTTGCTTTTGGAATAATCCAACAACTACATAAAATTAATCACTATCTACAAATCTAATCTAGCATTTTTATCAGTGATTTTAATCACTAGGTAGCACAAAACCTAAATGTTATTTTGATATCAGTGTAATAGCTCCTAATTAATCAATACTTAAAGTGGGTAATAAATCAGAAGTATGATTTACATAATTAAAATATGGTCAGTGAAATTGATCGTAAATACAGATACTAAAGTTTATAGCTTCAAAATAACATGCACCTTCAAGCTATGTCTATTTTTACAATATAAGTCTATTCCTAGTTAATCTTCATCAGATTGATAAATAAATATTTTAAAAAAACATTTATTTTTTTTATGGTAGAAACGTTTACTTTTATATATATTATACCTATCTTCTTCTTTTACCTCATCTTAATCCTAACTACTTGGGGTCGGTCACCAATATCCTAAATTTCCTCTTGACACTATTTCCCACGTCAGTTGTCCTTATATCACATTCAACAACTCCCCTCAATCTCTTTTGGTTTTCCTTTACCTCTTCTCCCTTTAACATTCATTTGTATAACTGTTCTTAAAGCTTCCGATTCCTCTCCTCGTGACATGACCAAACCATTTAATATTATATAGTTATACTATATATATACTTTATTAAATTATGATCATACCGATGGTTTTTGATTATGTTTATGATAATATCTTGTGTTTTTTTACAATTATAAGTAGCAATTAAGAGCGCTGTGAAAAAACGAGATAACTCTTATTTTAAGAACTGAAATTTTTTTTTGTAATGTATTCTTACCTACTAAACATTTTTAAAAATATTATAATTTTCATATAATTTAATATTTCTATATTGGGTATATGTAATCATAAATTTTATTTAAATTAATAACTGACTGAAACAAATTTTTCAAAAATAATGGAATTTTCTTTTTTTTGCACAGATCTTTTAATTTAATAAACAAAAAATTTGTGAAGATTATGGCTTTCAAAAAAATATTTTGATGTGATTATCCATATTGTTTTTAGAAAAAACATATAAATTCCAATAAATAATAAAATTATAATTTTGAAATTAAAAACAAATTTTTTTAATTTAATTTTTAAAAATTACATAAAATTTTTTGAAAAATATATTTTTATTAAACAAAACAAAAAATGTACTAACTGTATTCTACATATTTGGTATTAAATAATATTAAAGATGTACATTGTATAAAAAAAAAAAAATAAGTAGTAATTCTAATATATAAGACAGTAATATAAAATATAATAAAAATAGATCACTTGTGGCTAATTAATTAAGTAAAATTAAAATTATATTAAAAATATTATTAATTTTAATTTTATTTAAGTAATATAATCTTAAATATTTGAAAAGACTTTTAGTCACAATAGATTTCAAAAATTTAAACAAATCTTGTTCAAGTTTAAAATTCATAATGTAAATTATTTCTATTGATTAAGTGTAATTAGAAAGACTAGAGATAAAATTTATAGAATTATTCCGTTTCTGCAGATTGGAATTCTTCTATTTTTAAGTTTTATAATAAAAATTGTCTCATAAATATTTAAATTTTTTGATAAAAAATTTATAATGTTCTTATAAAAAAAAAATAGGAAGATAAATCTAGTAGAAGATTTTTAAAAACTAACAATAAAGGAAAAATTACAATAAATAGTGCTTGTAAGTGATTAAATCTAATTTTATCATCATCTCGTTATTATTAGTTTTATTGGAAATTTTCTGTGGCTTATAATAATGTAACTTTTATTCTCATAATTAGATTAGTTACTGTAATATTGTTATTTAAATTTGATGAATTATTCATCAAGGGATAAATATATTTTAATTTCCTCATAAGTTAACATTTGCTACTGGATCCCTTTACACAAAACACATGAGAATATAAAGATGGTTATGTTAATTAAAGATAGAGATTACATCAAATATGACTAATAATATTGTTAGTTGATATATCAACTAAAAATATTAGAATATTTATTATAACTATAGTAACAAATATTTGAAAAAAAAAAAAAAGATTATTAAACAATCACAGTTATGTGATCATCTACATGTTATACCTGGAATGTTACTTAAACCCTGTCATCATTTAAAATATTTTAAGTGTTTACTGTGTTTCAAGGTATGCAACAAGAAAAACTTGAAAAATTTTTATTAAATTCATTATAGTTGGCATATGTAATGCATCCTTATTATCAGTTGTTTTATGCCATACTTTAGGAAATGGATTTGGAATAACATGTAGAACTTCAATACCTGCAAGATAAAAATATGAAGTAATGAGAAGTAGGGTTTAAAATGGAGAATACTAAGCCCTCCAACTTATCATAAAGTTCAGACAATTTTTTTAAACTTTATAAAAATAAGTAATTCTATAGATACATGCAGTATTATAAAATATATCTTTAAAAATTATTTAAGTAATTATACAAATATATTCCAAAAGATGTATTTAAAATACTACAAAACTCATCTATATTAAAAAATATTTAGAAAGTATTCAATAAAAATAAATATACAGAATGATAACGATTTAACTAACAATTCTTATAACTTTTGGTAAAAATAAAATTTTACTTTATTATTTATTTTTTTTTTAATTAATTTTTTCAAAATTTTAAATATTTGTTTTTTATTGCTTTTCAATGAAAAATATTGATGGTTTGATAACCATATTAGAATAAGTACTTATTGTGTTACAAGCATTTTAATACATAGACTGGGTATAGAGCGTGTAGAGTATGCATTTTAAATACACTTGTAATACAATCAGTGCTTATCTTGAAGTTGATATCAATAAATTAAAAAAAATTATAAAAAAGCACTAAAAGCAGTTAATTCATCATTTTGAAAAAAAAAAGATTAATTTTTAATTTTGTTATTAAAAAGAAATAATAAAAAATATTTTTAATCTAGTCTAAAAATGTAAAAATTATTTTTAAAATAAATTACAAGATGATAATTGCATAAAACGTTATAAGAGTTGAATGACCTGTATTATGCATATATTTTAACATAAAAATTCAAAACAAAAATGTTGTATCCAACAAATTGATGAAGTTACATTAAAAATTCAAATACAATTAACTATTAAAAAAACAATGTTGACACCCATATAAGGGATGTTTAGTCAGTTAGATCTGTTACACTCTATATATATATATGTTAGTAACCTTAGTGTTATTAAGATTTAACATCAACCTTTTTCATAAAATGGCATATGATCATCTTCTATTCTAGTATTTACTGTTTTTGGAATGAAATACTCTTTATTGTATTCAGCTAAACAGTTTGTTTTGTTCAAAACTTTTTCAGCAGTAACCATTGATCGATATAAATCAGTTGTTTCTAAGAAATAATTATAAAATGCAGGATTTTTTGTTCCCAATAAATCCAAAAGCATTAAAAATTCCTAAAAATATATTGATACATTCAATTAAATATAAAATTTTATTAACAAAACTCTAACACTAACTATTCTTTGCAATTGATTAATCTGTCTTCCATTATGTAAAAATTTAATATTTTCCATTTTAGAGGCTAAATGTCTTGATCCATAGAGTGAATCAACCTCACTCCATTCAACAAAAGCTTCTTCACCATCAAAAAACATCATCATGAGACTTAAAGGCTATAATATAAAATTCTAATGTTTATTTAAATATGTTATTAATAAATATACAACATGATTATATAACTCTTATAGCATTTAATACTTTATATATAGTGTTCAGTAAGTAAGTAAATGGGTTTCTATTGTTCTCATTGTTTATAACAATTGACAAGTTTCCTTACTTACTGAACCCTCTGTATATAATAGAATAGTACATAATAACAATATTTCTTACATTAGTTTTATATACTTCAAGTCGTTGCTGTAAAGTTTTGGCCATGTACATCATCATTGCACAAGGTACTGCAGAATCAGTGGCACCAACAAAATAAAAATCCATTTTTTTAGAATCATAATGGCAGGCAACAACTATATATCGGTCAGCTGTAGGATTTAATGTAGCAATAATATTAGTCATATTACGAATGCCAATAGGAGTTTTGGCTTTAAATGAATCCAATTCTACAGACCATCCTAAACTTTTCATTTCTTCAGAAATAAACTAAATATAAACAAATATATACTTAAAATAAACAATTAAATTCCAAAAATAATTAATTTATGAGTACTACTTGAATGCTAAGTTAAAATATGCCATAAATAATACTATGAATTTAATACAACTTAAAATTTAATAAAATAATATAATTTTACTTATAAATAATTCTTTTATATTGGATTAATTTTAAGTTAAAACACAAAATAATCTTAGAAGATAAATATATTATAAAATATTTCATAATGTAAATAGTAAAATATTAAAAAATAATGTTGCTTTGACATTTAAAGTGACTAAGAGGGTAAAAAGTTTAATTTGGAAAATAAATAAATCTATTTATACCATCTTGACAAATTCATGATTACTAGTTCCAACAACTCTTTCAATCAATAATTCATCTAGTATAGGCTTAAAATCTTGTGCTATACCCATATGACACAATTTATATATTGTATCTTGTGAAATAATTGCACCCTAAATATATAATAAAAGTTTAACAGTTAATAATATTATATATTAATAATGATTAGTTGAAATGTTAAATTTGTGTATACTAATTAAAATACCTTAAATGATAACATAAAATAATGTTACAAGTTAAATAGTTTGACTGTTATATAAAATAATTATTACATAAAAGTTATCTAATATGTCATTAATTATAAAATAATCACAGTTTATATAATCTCTTTAATATTTTGTAATTTTATTACATAAATTTAAAGTTTTGGATTCTTAGTTAAGACTTAAATGACAAAAGGCTTAAGGAATTCCAAGAAAAATAAATTCAAGATAATGAAATTAATATTGTGATTCTATTTTTATTTAAATAAAATCACAAAAACATTCAACAACAATTATTAAACAATAGTCAGTATAAAAAAATAAATATCAAATGATGACTTTTAATTAAAAGGTACAAGTAGAACATTCAAATAAAATGCTAATGCAAAATATAAATAGTAATTATACATTATATTTATTTACTATACTATTGATTAAGTAGATTTTTTTTTTAATTAATGTACAATTTATTAATTCTTATTGAAAAAATAAAATTTAATCTAAATAAATTAACAGAATAATGCAACANTTTTTTTTTTTTTTTTTTTTTTTTTTTTTTAATATGGCTTTATTTGAGTAATTACAATCTATACAATATGTACAATAAGCAATTATTAGAATATACAGACATAACATTTAAAACATGAAGAGGTATTCACACAATTGTGAAACCTCGTTGAATTTTAATCATGAATGATAAAAATAAAATATTGCATTCATAAATAAAATAAACTACCTCAAATATAAATAACTCAATTTTTTTCACTAATTAGATGAAAATCTAACTTACTAACTTATTACACTATTAATTTTAATTTTAAACATATATAAAAGTAATATTGATAATATTGTATTTGATTCTTTAATTTATTGTATTTGTTTAAAAGTAAATTATAAAATAAAGTTTTAAATTACCTGTTTACTTCTAGAACTGATTATTTGTGATGTAGTAAAAATAATAGTTAACAATAAAAAAAAACTATAAATGAAAAGCATGTTTAAAACTAATTTTAAATATTATTTAAATTAAAAATCAACGGACATTATTAAGACTAAGAGGCAATATAACAACCAACAGCGCCAAAATAAAATAAATACACTTTTTTAAACATTAAATTATATTAGTTTTCTTTAAACAAAAAAAAAGTATTGATGTATAAATTTTACTGTTTGAAAACAATAAGAAGAAGAACTTAAGCTGTTTAATATAAAGCTACTAACAAATTTTAAAATTATTTCCGTCTTCGTGTTTATATGATAAGACACAGAATATATTTTCGTAGAGTCAGTGATAAGAATAACAATAAAAACAACTAATGTAAAATGGACTGAACACGAAACCTTTAAAACGATCCGGTTTTGTTATATATTTCCCACATAATATATAGTAGAAGGAGAATTTTGAAGAAATGGTTCCTTATAATATTTTATATGTATTTTCGGATTCCTCCACTCCGTTGTAAAATTTTATTTTCCGAAGCTTATTGCTCGTCGAATATTCTCCCTTCTATCGAATTTCTATAACAAAATAGAATTGTACTCCCTGTTCCCGCCAATTAAGTAGTGGCCAGTAGTGATGGAAACTTGTTATTAATTTTGATAACTGTTACAAACTGTAATTGTTACTTTCAAAATAACAGTGATGTAATTGGTTTATATGTTAAAAGACTGGTGAATATTGATGACCTTGTGTAAAACTCAAAATAACAGTAACTGTTACTATTTCTTCTAAGTAACAGCTTGTTATTGCTACTCAAGCAGTAACTGTTATAAATCACTGTTACTATTATTTTTCCCATCACTAGTGACCAGTAAGTTGGGTTGTGATAGTCCTGCCAGTCAATCCCCAATTTACACCACTTTTAGTTTAAACCTCGTATACTATAATTTTAATAAAAATTAAAATAATTTAATTTTGCAGTATTATTTGAGTCTTTATTATTATCTCTTAACGTAATAAGAAGGACGGACCTAAAAAATATCTAAATTTTCAAATTAGAGAAGTAAAATAAGTTATTTTATTTTTGACACAATAATTTGACACAAAAATTAAGTGCTCTAAGTTAGTCCACTTGACGGTAATTCCATAGCGCATAGATACATAATTTTGCAACAAAATATGAGTATTATTTTAATTTCATAATTTAAAAATTTGTAGTGCATTAAAATTGTACAAACATTAATTTTTAACGATATTTTTACTTGATAGTTAATTAAGTCCCCATACATACATTCATAGCCCTCCTCTCAAAATAAATTATGTTTTTGGGAAGATAGGGATCTATATTTAAAAACCCAGCACAGTGGAGTCGCGGCATAGTGGGGACGTTGCATAGTTGGGTCCAGTATAGATTTAATCTGACAGTGATTAAAATCACTATCATAAGAAACGCTTCGATGCAAATCAGTAGATAGTGTTTAATTCTAAGAAATTGGTGGATAATTACAAAAGCTGCATGATCTGCTAGTTCCTTATTAATACCCTGATTAAGATAAAGTATGTCGAATGAAAAAGGGATTATTAAAAAATATTATTTCTCATAAAAAAATTGTGTTGATTCATACACTTTTCAATGAGTTGTAGCATTATAAAGTTAAAAATGTAACCAACCCAACCCAACATCAACTCCTATTTCCTTAATTATATCCAGATTAGTAATTCGTTTAATTATATATTATATAATTTTTATAATTAATTATTTTCAAATTATTATCGATTTTTAATATGTTAAAAGTAATCATTTTGAACCAACTTCTTTTTGTCCTTTAAAGTGAAAGTTTTAATAAAAAAAAAATTGATTTATTACCATAACTTTTAACTCAACTTGCAAGTTTGAAATAGATATTATTAAATAGAAAAAAATGAAATTGGTAGATTATTTCAAAAACAACAATAACACTTATTCCCTTAATTTTACCCCGATTTATAACTATAATATATGAATACATAATAATTACAGTAATTAAATTGAGTATGAAAGTGGTATTCAATAATATAATATTGTAATTTTTACGGAGATATTATAAAAATAAAAAGGAGTTGTATATTCATATACTTTTAATGCGTATACAAATTTAAAGGAATTTATGCAATACTTTTTAATAAAAAAATTTTGTTACTTATGAATAAATACACTAAACAAAAGGAACTTTCATCAGAAAAAAAATATACTTTTCTAAATAAACTTTTCGTGATGTTTTCAAATGTGCAATTAAACTTTTTCTATTACTTCTAAGTTTTAATATTATTACTTATTATTAAAAAATAAGTATTTACATATAAAAAAAAATAATTAAGAACAAAAAAAATTGTATTAAATTAATACTGATTTTGATTTTTAATATGTTAAAGGTAATCATTTTGAACCTATTTTTTATTGTCTTTTAAAGTGAAAGTTTTAATGAAAAATACCTTCTCAGCTTCGCATCGAAGCTAAAAAATGAATTTGTTACCATAACTTATAGTTCAACTTGCAAGTTTGAAATTGACATTATTAAATTGAAAAAAATGAAATTTTTAAGATTAATATGCAATCTGGAAATTTTATAATTACTAATTACAGTACATTTGTCAGAAAAATTCGATTTTTTTACATTTTTATCGTAATAGATAACTGAAATAGAAAGAATAGTAATCATATCCTAATAACTTTTGGTGTTTAAAAAAATTCTGCAATTGAAATATTCAGAACTTAATTAATTTTAATAATTTACTTTAATTAAATGAACCAATCAAACCAAAGTAGTTAAAAAGATTTACTCAATTGAGCATATTATCAAAAATATAATTATAATTGTAAAACTCCATCGTTAACTTCAGGTGAAACTAAAAATCATTTTTTTTTTAAATTTATGATTTATATAGCAACATATTACTAAAAAATTTGGCATATTATAGACTGGTAGTAGCACACAGAAATAGAGTTAAAAAATTAATAAATTATAAAGTAAAATTATTTACTTTTGTAGTTGAATACTTTTATCATATCAAATTTAATTCGACAATAAATAATTTAAGAATATTAAAAATTAATGATTTTAATTGTTTGTATGGACAAATCTAGTTAAGCTACTTTTTATTTGAATAAGGAATATTTTTTTGATTTTTAAGAGTAATAACTTAAACTAATCATTAACTTAAATATCATAAACTTAAATGAATCATTTGACGTATCGTTGAAAAAAGTAGGTCTAGTGAGGGTTGGCAAAATAAATTGTAGCCACAAGAAGAACCACATAGTAAAATAATATTAACATGAATATCAATTTCTTCTCAGGAGGGGAAACTACAGAGATAAAATCCTTTATATTTATTGAAATTATTGAATCTAAATGAGATAAATATCAAATGATTTGAAAATTCTATTCTAACTCAAAAAAAAAATGCAAAATTTTAGAAGCCACAAACGGATTTGAACCTCGTACCCTAGGCGTTAAAGATCAAGGTGTTACCCATTCGGCAACTATTCGTTGATTTTTGTTGCATGATAAAATTGGCTATTTAAGCTAACTCAAATTTAAAAATTACTTTTTCGACTTTAAAAAAGTAAAAAATGTTAATAAGTATAATATCATATGTCTTATGAACTTTATTCTATGTCAATGAAATTATATAATATTCATGAAAGTCAGTTTATTCCCCTAATAAAATATTTTAAAATAAAATAAAATACAAAACCTAGAATTTTAATAAAAAATAGCATATTTTTAAATACGGTAGCCTTTTGCGCATAGAAGATAGGTCGTCGGGACAAATTTTTTTTTTTCATTTAGTAGTACATAAAATAAGCTTTAATTTGATATATGTTTAAAGGACGCAGTATTTCCGGAACATTTTCAAAAATTAAGTTGAAAAAGTTAGTTTTTGTAAAAAAGTTGCTATTTTAAATCCCCCCTGTGAGCAGAATAAGTGTTAGATTTTCAAAAAAAAATGATATCAAATGAAAGAAAATTACCTAAGGTTTCAATATAAAGAAATATTATTTTGATTAGTTAATATTTGAAAAAGTTATGGCAGTTTTAAGTACAAAAAACATCGTTATAAAAGGTGATTTTTATCGCAAATATTACATTTTTTTTATAATTTCGACAGCCATTTGCACATAGAAGATAAGGTGTCGGGACAAATTTTTTTTTTTCATTTTATAGTACATAAAAAAAGCTTTAATTTGATATATGTTTAAAGGACGCAGTATTTCCGGAACATTTTCAAAAATTAAGTTGAAAAAGTTAGTTTTTGTAAAAAAGTTGCAATTTTAAATCCCCCCCCATGAGCAGGTTAAGTGTTAAATTTTCAAAAAAATTATATCAAATAAAAGGAAAATATCTAATAAAGGATAATAATAATAAGGTTTTATGATTTGTTGATTTTTGAAAAAGTTATGGAAGTTTTAAGAAAAAAAAGTGAAAAAAATGACAAAATTTGTCGATTTTTAAATTTGTAATTTTTTTGGATATTTCCCCCATTTGCGGGGAACGAGGGAAAATTTTTAAATTTTTAAGGGTAATGTCTTCAACTAGATACAATTTGTGATCTTTTGACGTATTGTTAAAAGAAATCGGTCCAGTGAGAGCTGAGAAAAAGTAGTGACAGACAAAAAAAAAAAAAAATAAACACATCATGGTAAAATTAATACCTTCTCAGCTTCGCATCGAAGCTAAAAATAAACACATCATGGTAAAATTAATACCTTCTCAGCTTCGCATCGAAGCTAATAACTGAGTATAGAATTATAGCTGCCGTTGGCAAATAATTCAAGTTATGCCTATGTACACACGTTGGTATAATTAGGACGGACTAGGAGACTTTAACCTAAACATTAAAGAGTTACATTAATTCTCTTAAAATATTATTGAGTGACATAGGAAATATGGTAAGTACAATTTAACCTACTCTTTCGAACATCAAACAATCTATTGCATAATAAATCATTAAGAGAAATTGTAAAATTTTAAGGGATATTTAATGTCATTTACTAATTATTCGACCAATATTTATCCATTCCACTATTTTATACCTTTTACACATTCACTATTTTCACTATCATAACTATTTTTGTTATTTGATTATGTGGTGTATACTCTCTCTCCTAATTCGTTAATTAGTAATTATATTAATTGTAATCAGTTGTTGACCGGCGTTCGACGTGACCGGGTTACGTTGTAAGTAACAACTGTGTTTATATATTAAAATGTTATTTTCTTAAGAAGATTTGGATTTATTTATTTTAACTTCAGAATAAAAGAATCTACCACATGGTGTCAGGTGTGAATTAAATAATTCAGTGTTAAATAATTAATGTGTACTGAATTATTGACGTAGTCTTAAACGGTTAATTACGTGCTAAAATGTATCTAATTAAAAAAATTGTTTTGTTTTTTAGAAAAAAAAAAAACTTGAAAGTGTTTTCGGTTAAGAAATAATAGAATGTCAAAAATTCCATTATTTTATTTATGGTAGGCCCATCTTATTAAAGACGGATCATAAGCCCTTAATGTCGATAATAAAAAAAGATCTAAACAAAGTTTCACCTAGACTACAATGTCTTTTAAAAATTAATTTTAAAAATTGTTATAACAGATTATTCACCTTTCCTATTCCTTTTATCTTTTTTAGCTTCGATGCGAAGCTGAGAACGTATTAATTTTACTATGATGTGTTTTTTTTTATTAATTTTTTTTTGTGCCAATTTTTACTGTAGTTATCTATCTAAAAATAAATAGCTTTAAAAATTCTTTAAAAACATTTACCTTAATTAAAATTTTGAAATAAAAAAATGAATACCAATAAAGAAGTCCTTCACTTAAAGGTTTATCCTTTTTATAAATATATAATGAATTGTATTAAACATAAGATATTTATTTATATTATATTAATGAGATTCGTCAACATTGATATTGCTAACATTTTCCCCGCGATATTGATTATTATTGAATAATATTATACTCAATGCTATACTCAAAAAAAAGTTGTTTGAATTTTGGTCACTTAGTTATAAAATTTATTTTTAACTTCGATGCAAAGCTGAGAAGGTATTAAATTTAGTATGATATGTTTTTTTATTTTTTTTTGTGTCTGTGAATGCTTAATCTCCGCTCTCCCTGGACCGATTTTGATGAACAATACGTCAAAAGATCACAAATCGTATCTTAGTCGACGACATTACCCTCGAAAATTGAAAAAAATTTCCTCGTTCCCCATAAACGGGGGAAATCCTCTAAAAAATTACTAATTTAGAAATCGCTAATTTTCGACATTTTTTTTATTTAAAACTGTCATAATTTTTTAAAAAATGATCGAATCAATATAATTTTTTTTTTATAGATACCTTAGGTATTTACCTATCTTTAGATATATTTTTGTGAACATTTGACCCCTTAATAGCCCACAGGCTATTAACTTTTTCACAAAAAATTGACTTTTGAAAATGTTCCGTAAATACTGACACTTTTATATATAACTTAAATTAAAGCTTATGTAATATACTTTAATTTGAAAAAAAAAAATTAACCTCTGGACTTGTCTTCATGGTGAAAATGACTACCGTATGCAAAAATATGCTATTTTTGTGAAAAAATTATTGATATTATATTTTATATTTTTAACATTATGTTGCTATAACTTTTTAAAAAATGCATGAATCATTTGTATTCATTAATGATAAATAATTTATATATACCTCTTTCATACTTTTTTTTTAAATCGGACCATTTCTCTTTATACATGGGGGGTTCAAACTTTTAAAAATGCGTATAGAAAGTGGAACTCTATCAACTTAACTTTTGAAAATGTTTCGGAAATACTGATATTTTTATATATACCTTAAATTCCCTCGTTCCCCGTAAATGGAGGAAATCTCTAAAAAAATTACAAATTTAAAAATCGCTAATTTTCGAAATTGTTCCAATTTTTTTTACTTAAAACTGCCATAACTTTTCAAAAATGAACAAATCAATATAATTTTTTTTTTATAGATACATAATGTTTTTACTTACCATTTGATGTATTTTTTTTTATAAATTTGACCCTTTACCTGCCCACAGGGAGGGATTCAAAATGACAACTTTTTCAACTTAAATTTTAAAGTGTTCCGGGAATACTGACACTTTTATATATATCTTAAATTAAAGCTAATGTAATATACTTTATTATGGAAAAAAAAAAATTTCGGACTTTATTTTCTCTTCACGGTGAAATGGCTATCGTATGCTATTTTTGTGTTAAAATTATCGATTTCATATTTTACATTTTTAACTTTATAATGTTATAACTTTTTGAAAAATGTATGGATCAATACAATTTTTTCATGAGAAGTAGTATTTATATACATCTTTCATTCGACATACTGTTTTTTTAAATCGGACTATTTCCCTAAATACAGGGGGGGTTCAAAACATAAAAATGCATATAGAAAGTAGAACTTTTTCAACTTAATTTTTGAAAGTATTCCGGAAATACTGACACTCTTATATATATCTTAAATTAAAGCTTATGTAATATACTTTAATATTAAAAAAAAATTTCGGACTTTATTTTGTCTTAATGGTAAACATTTTTGGTTTTGTATTTTATTTTATTTTATTATAAGGGGATTACACTGATTTTCATAAGTATTACATACTTATGGTTTAGTGTATCCTGGGGAAATGTTAGGAACAGTGGTTTTCTAACATCTTCTCTACATAGGATACGCTTTGATATAGTATTATAAAAGTACATTAAGTAGAGTAGACGAATGAAAGCTTCTTCGGGACGTGTTCGGGTGGGGGCTAACGATCCCAAGAGGAAAGACTAGTCCAATTCAAATCAAATTAAACCCATTGGACTGAAAAGTACAGTTTATTTTTGCATATTTGTAATGAGTGCAAATAAACACATCGATAAATAAAAAAAAATCGAAAAAATCGTATGGGATCTAAACTGCATTTGTTCCGTTAAATCTAATACATGCACAGTATTTCGATACGATAAAAACTTGACTTATAATTGAAATTCCCCATCGTTCGACGTAAAATCCATATTTTAATGGCGTTACCTAATTCTTTAAAATAGTATCTTGAAAAATATATAATTACAACAGTATCGAATTCAAGTTAACGAAAAACATTTTTTTAATAATATTTATGTGTTGTAATGTTGGTTTTCCTGTTTGTGCCTGATATTATTTGAGATAAGATACAATTCGATTACTGTTTCCATTATAGTATTATGAATAATAAGGATTTTTTAAATGACTGAATTTAAAATTTTTTGTTGAAGAATTTTGTTTAAGAATAAACCGAAAATGGGTAAAGGTCGTGCAGAGCCTGGAACCCCCAAGTATATAGCTAATAAAATTAAATCTAAAGGATTGCAAAAGCTGAGATGGTATTGTCAAATGTGTAACAAACAATGCAGAGATGAAAATGGTTTCAAATGTCATACTATGTCTGAATCACATCAAAGACAACTATTGTTATTTGCTGATAATGCCGGTCGATATCTTAGTGAGTTCAGTTATGAGTTTTCAAAATCCTTTCTTTTTTTGTTGAAACGACAATTTGGAACAAAAAGAGTTAAGGCTAATAAAGTTTATCAGGAATACATTTCAGATAGAAATCATTTGCATATGAATGCTACTCAGTGGACAACATTAACTGGATTCGTTAAATGGCTTGGAAAAACTGGTAAGTGTTTGAATAATAATTAACCTAAAATTAATATTTTATTTTCTAAACGACCGAGTCTATATTTTTTGTAAACATAGAGATGGTGACTTGTTAGTGTAGTTAAGGTTGAAGTATCTTTTAAGTTATGAATTACAATTATCAATATTTGATTAATTTTACCAAGAAAGTATAATACTTTCTTGAAATTTGTTTGAAAATTTTCAAATATACAAATAATAATTAAAACTAGAATTTAATTAATATTATCCAATCTTTTCAATTTATGATTTAATATACTTAAAAATAAAGGTGTCCAGTTCCTTTTTTAATTGCATTTTAACATTTAGGGAGTGCAACAATTCGGAAGCTCTGGGTAATCATAAAAACATGATCATTAAATAAAATTTAACATGACAAAATTATCTATATGTTTTCATATTTTTTTATGTTCATTCCATATATATTTATATATAATCCCAGATATACATTACTTAGTTTTCAAGCCCAAATTAATAAAAATTTGTACTAGCTAATATACCAGTAGATTATTTGATGAAATATAAATCATTTTTTTTGTTTCTTTTAGATACATGTTTTTATCAATTTATTTTTGAAGTATCTTTCATGTTCATCACTGATACCTTATAAATTTTAAAGTAGTGATACATGGATGTTATGTTTATCATTAGATTTCTTGGCCTCACTCCTTCCGGTTAGGTATAAAATTCTTAATAACTGCTGAAAGACTGGTTTAAAAAATATTATTTCAATTGTATTATTATCTTATAAGTTAATTATGTACGTTGTCATTTTAAAATAAAATTGAAAAAAAACAAATTATCAATATTATTTTTATTTCATGGAAAATTATAATTAGTTAACATTTAATGTTTACCTAATAACCAGTATAGTACTTATAAATTTACTAATTTTTCAATTTTAGGAAAATGTGTTGTGGATGAAACTGATGAAGGTTGGTTTATAACTTATATTGATCGCGATCCAGCCACCATTGAACTAGAAGAGAAAATGAGAAGAAAAGAGAAAGCAGAAAAAGATGAAAAAGAAAGAGAAATGGAATTTATTGAGCGACAAATTAGAGAAGGTCAAAAAAAAGAATCACTAGATCAGCTTGAAATGCAACCCAAAGAACTCATAAGAGAAGAAGATTCTAAATTATCATTAAATTTAAAAATAGATACTTTCAAGAAACCCACTATAGTTCCAATAAAGAATGTTTTGAGTACAGCAGGTTCAGAACGTATGTCTATTATTTCAAAATCAAGTAGTAGAAAATCTGAAAAAAGGAAACCATCTGCATTAGAAGAAATTATTCAGCAAGAGACAAAAAAAAAAAATTATATGAGAAAAGATTATTGGCTGATAGAAAATATTGTAGTGAAGGTTATTACAAAAACCTTAGGGTTAGATTATCTGGGAAAAAAAGGGGTCGTTATAAAAGTAATTGATAAATATGGATGTATGGTAAAATTATTTGAACCAAAAGTTAAACTCAAGCTAGATCAAAATCACGTGGAAACAGTAATTCCTAATGTTGGTGGTAAAGTAATGATAGTAAATGGTGTTCATGTTGGAAGAGAAGCTGAGTTATTAAAAATTGATCAAGATAATTTTTGTGTTGATGTAAAATTAAAAACTGGACCAGCTATTGGAAAAGTTATTTCAACATTACCTTTTGAAGATATATGCAAATTACACATAAATAATAGTTAATTTAAAGTTTAGGTTTAGACTTGTAATATGTAAATAATGTGCAAATGTATATTAAAACTAATAAATATGTTATACAGTCTTAGTATTTAATGCAATGACAAATAAAAATAAATGATAATAATTCACTTAAAATTTAGATTTACAAATGAAAGTTAAATAGTAAAAAAAAAATCCTTTCAAACAAATGAGAGAATATATGTTAAGTTGATCAGCGTAACATAAACTGAAGAAAATTCAGTGAGTTTTATCATCGGGTTCTTCAATTTTAGGAATTTTATTTGGAGTTTCATCAGAATCACTTTGTTTAGGTCTTTTACGAATTAAGTGATTGATATTGGATACTTCTTTAGATGATGATGATTCACAACCATTTTTTGTTCCTTCATTGGCAGCACCAACTGCTGCAAGTAATGCACTAATAGCAGCTTTCTTACGTTCATTGATATCAATTATTCTTTCTTGAATTTCAGGTATTACAGTTTTAATTTCTGCAATTTCTTCTTTTGATTTTTCATCACTATTGGAGCTTTCAAGGTTTTTGATTCTTTGATCTAAAACAGTTGCTGCTTCTTTCATCAATTCAACAGCACGTTCACCACTTCCACCTAATTCCTGTGCAATACCTAACTGGAATAGAGTTTCTGCTATGATACGACTATCTCCAGGCAATAATAATCTGAAACATTAGTAATTTTATAATTATAATTTTTATTAAAATTATAAATTAAGATTTTTCAGTGATTATCATTGCTATAAATATTAATAAGATTTATATGTAATAAAAATAAATAATTATATTTTTCAATACATAAAAATATCACTAGCTAATTTTTTAATAAAACAGTAAAATTCATAACTAACAAAATTAATTTAAGTCAATTGATGATTCTCATATATGATTACAGAGTAGGTTTATGTTATGTTATGTTATATTCAATGAAATAAAATATAAAGTGAGTGATAAAATTTATAAAGTGACACAGAGTTCTTATCTTATGTAAAAGTACACCAAAATATTAATAAACGTTACTTTTTGCTTAACACTATTTTACTATTTATAGCAAAGGTATAAAGAAAAAGAGATTATATTACTATCGTGGTAAACTTATAAAACCAATCATATTAATAAGAAAAATTAAACATTTCAGAAGAAATTCAATTAACCATCACTTCTTTTATTGACGGATTACATAGAGTAATCTGTCATAAAGTAATGCATTAAAGCCAAAATATTTGTATGTTATTTGAGTAAGGAAATAAAATAAGTATTATTATAAATAATAATATATTACTTTATTTAAATAAGTTGATAATAGTTCCTATAGTTAATTTCTTTGTTCTTACCTTCTTATATTTAAGGCTTCTGTCATATCTTCAATTGCAGTTTCAAATTTTTCATCTTCAATACTGACATCACCACATTTCATCAAAACTTCTGCAAGTTTAAGTTTGGCTTCTTCAGTGTCCATTTTTTTATAAATTACTTTAGCCAAATCAAGCATTTCCCAGGCAACTTGTAAATCATTCACATCTTCATCATCAGCAATATCCTCTTCTTCTTGTTTTTCTTCGATATCAACTGCCATTTCTTCCAATTTACCTTCTTTTTCTTCGACTTCTTCATCTTCTGTTATACTTGTTTCAATCACATTTGTCATACTGGATCGTTCTTTAACTAATTTTTGATTGTCTTCACCATTTGTTGTAACATTATTGGTTTCATCATTGGCATTATTCATTTCAACATCACTATTATTTTTTTTAATTTCAGCTTTCCCATTAGTAATTGAAATTTCTTCTTGGTCATTAATTTTTTCATTATTTGTTTCATCAGAATTTACCCCTTTTAAATCAGAAGAATTTGCTTCTTCTTCTTCTTCATCAGCATCATCTTCTTCTTTTTCTTCAAGTCCAACAGGACTGGTTTGATCTTTACTAAGTTCAAGAAGAGCACATCCATACTTAAAATATGCTTCAGCACATTCTTCAGCTATTTCACCATAAACTGTTCCAAAAAGACTACATGCTTCACTTAAAACATCTGAGGCAGCTTGATAGTCTTTGATAGCTAAGCTTCGTTTACCAGCTGCTAAAAGTTCTTCAGCGCGCTTCTTTTTGGATTCTAAATCTTCAGTGACAGGCTCCTCATTTTCTTTATTTTCATTTTCTGTTTCTACTGTAGAATCTGCATTATTCTGACCTTGAATAGTTTCTTTACTACTATTTTCATTACTTGAAATATCTTCAGCAACAACATGTCCTTCTGTTATACTATTGGTAACTATGCAGTTTTCTAAATTTTCTTTAATGGATTTGTTATTTATAACTTGATTTTCTACAATTTTTTTACATTCTACAACAACTTCGTTTTCTTTTTGAGCAACTTCAGAAGGCATTTTCAATATTCTAAAAAAATAAATAGATAAATTAAAAATTATAAAGGAGTTTTCATAATAATATAAATACATAATATTAATTATAAATTTGTAGGGTATAAGGTTACAAATTATCTGAAAAATATAATGTTAATATAAATACTGAAAAATACAGAACTGAATTAATTTTAATGATTATATATCTAAAAAAACCAATAAAAAAAAGTTGTTAAAAAGATTTACTCAATTGAGCATATTATAAAATTTGATTATAATTGTAAAAATCTATCTTTAAATTCAGGTGAAACTAAAAACTAATTTTTTTTTTTAGATTTGTTTTTTATATAGCAACATGTTACCAAAATATTTGAAATATTATAGACTGTTAGTAACACACACAAATAGAGTTAAAAAATTAATAAATTACAAAGTAAAATTATTTACTTTTGCAGTTGAATACTTTTATCATATCAAATCTAATTCGACAATAAATAGATTAAAAGTATTAGAAATTAATCATTTTAATTGTTATTATGGATAAAGCTGTTTAAGGTACTTTTTATTTGATTAAGTGATTTTTTTTCAATTTTTGAGGGTAATATCTTCAACTAAATAAGAATTTTAATCATTTGGCATATTGTTGAAAAAATAAATCGCAGCCACAAAAAAAAGACACAAAATAATATTAACATGAATAAGAAAATTTTCTCATGAGAGAAGATTACAGTGATGGGATCCTAGATATTTATTGAAGTTAATGAATCTAAATGAGATAAAAAATAAATAATTTGAAAATTTTTCTAACTTAAAAAAAAATGTAAAATATTAATTGCCACAGGCGTATACGAACTTAGTACCCTAACCATGAAAGACACTTGTGTTATCGATTCAGCAACTGTTCGTCGCTCATGCCGATTAATAAATTTGGCAATTTAAGCTAATTTAAATTTTAAAGTTACTTTTTCGACTTTAAAAAAACAACAATTTTTAAATAAGTTTAACGTCTTATGTCTTATGAACTTTATTCTAAATAATAATATAAGCTTTAATTTAAGATTAAATAAAAGTGTCAATATTTCCGGAACATTTTCAAAAATTTAAAAAGCTTAACTTGAGTGCAATAATTGTTTTTTTGCATTCCCCCTGCGGGCAGGTTTAGAGTCAGATTTTCAAAAAAATTATATCAATTTGAAAGAAAAATATCTAAGGTTTCAATATATATAAATTTTTTTTTTATTTGTTCATATTTCAAAAAGTTATGGCAGTTATTAAAATATTTCATGTATAACAGTGAGTTTTACAAAAAAATTATAAGTTTCGTTAAGTCCTGTAGAAGAAAAGTTGTCGGGTCAAATTTTTTTTTTGAACTTATAATATTTATTATAAGCTTTAATATGACATATGTTTAAAGGACGCAGTATTTCCGGAACATTTTCAAAAATTAAGTTGAAAAAGTTCTACTTTTTATCCGTATTTTTAAAGTTTTGAAAGTCCCCCGTATAAAGGAAAATTGTCTAATTTAAATAAAAAGTATGTTAAATGAAAGAGGTTTATAAAATGTTTTTAGAAAAAAAAAATTGTGTTTATACATACGTTATTCAAAAAGTTATAGCATTTTTAAGTTGAAAATTTAAAATCGAAAATTTTAACACAAAAATAGCATTTTTTTAACTACGGCAGCCGCCGTTTGCACATAAAAAGATAAGGTGTCGGGACAAAATTTATTTTTTCAATTAATAGTACATGATATAAGTTTTAATTTGATGTAAGTTTAAAGGATGCATTATTTCCGGAACATTTTCAAAAGTTAAGTTGGAAAAGCTAATTTTTATAGATAAAGTTTAATTGAACAGAATGGCTAGGACTTTCTTAATTTTGTTCACTGGTTAATACCGTCTATATTTTAACAAAATAATTTATGATTTAAATGTTAACATTTTCTAAAAAAAATCACAAATTAAAGAATTTTTTTTCTTGCTTAATATATTGTAGCAAACGAACAATAGTCCCACGTCCTCTGGTTAATTAAAAATAAACTGTGACACTTATAATTAAATATATACATGCAGTTTTCTAAAACTAAAACTAAAATATAAAATTATTGCATAGATAAAATATTTAAATAAAACTAGAATACACTATATATTATAATATCTATATAAAACTAATAACATGAGTTTAATTTTTTATTATTATCTTAAGACCATTTTTTTGAGATATTAGCTTCGATGCCAAGCGGAGAAGGTATTAATTTTACTATGATGTGTTTTTTTTTTTTTTATGTCTGTTGCCACTTTTTCTCAGCTCTCACTGAACCGATTTCTTTCAAAAATACGTCAAAAGATCACAAATCGTATCTAGTTGAAGACATTACCCTTAAAAATTGAAAAAAATTCCCTCGTTCCCCGCAAATGGGGGAAATATCCAAAAAAATTACAAATTTAAAAATCGCTAATTTTCGAAATTTTTTCACTTTTTTTTCTTAAAACTTCCATAACTTTTTGAAAAATCAACAAATCAACATAATTTTTTTTTATACTAAAACCTTAGATATTTACCTTTCATTTGATATCATTTTTTTGAAAATCTATCACTTAACCTGCTCATTGGGGGGGATTTAAAATGGCAACTTTTTTACAAAAATTAATTTTTTCAACTTAATTTTTGAAAATGTTCCGGAAAGACTGCGTCCTTTAAACATATATCAAATTAAAGCTTATTTTATGTACTACAAAATGAAAAAAAAAAATTTGTCCCGACACTTTTTTTTCTACATTTAAACGGCTGCCGTAGTTAAAAAAACACTATTTTTGTGTTATGTGTTAAAATTTTCGATTTTAAATTTTCAACTTAAAAATGCTATAACTTTTTGAAAAATGTATATATCAGCACAATTTTTCTTTTTCTAAATACATTATAAGTACATCTTTCATTTGACATACTTTTTATTAAAATTGGACAATTTCCCCTTATATAGGGGGCGTTCAAAACTTAAAATATTGTAAAAAACATAGATCTTTTTCAACTGAACTTTTGAAAATGTTCCGGAAATACTGCGTCCTTTAAACATATATCAAATCAAAGGTTATGTTATATACTAACAAATGAAAAAAAAAATTTTTCCCGACATCTTATCTTCTATGTGCAAATGGCTGTCGAAAATTAAAAAAAAATTTAATGTCTGCGATAAAAATTATCTTTTATCCGGGATGTTTTTTGTACTTAAAACTGCCATAACTTTTTCAAAAATTAACAAATAAAAATAATATTTTTTTGTATTGAAACCTTAGATATTTCCCTTTTTTGATATAATTTTTTTTGAAATGCTAACACTTATTCTGCTCACTGGGGGGATTTAAAATAGTAACTTTTTTACAAAAATAACTTTTTCAACTTAATTTTTGAAAATGTTCCGGAAATACTGCGTCCTTTAAACATATATCAAATGAAAGCTTATTTTATGTAATATAAAATGAAAAAAAAAAATTTGTCCCGACGACCTATCTTCTATGCGCAATGGCTACCATATTCAAAAATATGCTATTTTAACAAATTTTTTTTTTTAATTAAACACTATCTACAGATTTGCATCGAAGCGTTTTTTATGATAGTGATTTTAATCACTGTTAGATATCATCTATACTGGACCCCCCAACTATGCCACGACCCCACTGTGCCGCCACCCCACTGTGCTGGGTTTTAAAATTAAAAGCAAATAATAATCTTAAGAAATAAAAAAACAATTATTGTTTTAATTAAGATTTTTTTCTTTGTTAAGCTTACAATTAATATGTATTCATAATTTGTTGATTGGATACGTTTCTGAAAAAATTACTAATAAGTTCTTATGTAATGTTGAATATCAACATAAGAACATGTTTTTCATTAGTTCATGAAATTAAAATAAATAGAATATTTGGACTACAAGGTAAAAAATATACGGTGCAGCATTAAGTTGGCATTACACGCAGGAAGTTTGGACAGAATGGCGCCTTTTGTATAATGTATATCCAGATATTATAGATCGCTAGACTAAAACATATTGAGGTTGCGTGTCTTCCAAAAAGTTGTACAAAAAAAGCACATATTTGAGTCGCAAAGAAACAAATTACATTCTCAATTATATAGATACAAAATTTTTCTACAATTGTATTCTTTTAACAATTATTATGATGTAAGTAAAATATAAAATGTTATGCTTTTCATTGTTCATATATTAATTTTATACGCCTACGCTTTATTGCTAATGCAAGTATACTATATTCTAAAATTTTTAAATAAATAGAAATAAAATAGCTATGCGTTTTTTAAGTTTATTGTTGGCGCATTGTAAACTAAATACGCCTACAAAAATAATACCAAGATTGTATGGATATATAAATATTTTTAATAAACCTTATTTAACTTTATAAATATCATAAATCAACTAAATAAGGTCAATAGAAACAAGAATCTTTAATTATTAGAACTTATAAAATATTAAAAGAGCGTATACATCCACATTTTATAAAATCCTTTAAAATAAGTTGATGAGCGAATAAAAAGTTTTTTTTGCAATAAAAATATTAAATCTAAAGCCTAATAAAGTTTTTAGAAAGGTTAGAATAATCTATAAAATAAATGATTGAGAGAAGGTAAGTCTCTTCAAGCATCCTCAATGTATGACTAAAATTTTTGTAAATTTTTAATGTTAGCATAGGTATTTAGCCTCTTTTTTTATTACACTGTATATTGATATCATTTATAAACAATCTACAACCGATTTTATTTTTTTTAACCGTCCAAAAAAATAATTTTTTTAGCTTAATAATTTTTATTTATACTGAGTATCCCGCAAGTTTTGGTATCTCTAATTCCTTTGTAACTTTTGTTTTGATGAATATATATTTTTAATTTCTTTAAAATTTCAAAATTGCATATTTATACAAATATTAAAGCATTGATAATAGTTTTAAAACAAATTCTTATTGAGTTGCAAACATTTTAATAGAAAAAGCCGGTATAAAACAAGGTTGGAATACAAATACATCAATACGAGTAGTACGAGTAGTACCCACACAGCTTAATACTCACACTTTCAATTAAAACTTAAAACTCAAAAAGTACACAAAATAAAGTTGTTTTGAACCCATTTAAATTTCTTATAAGAAACGCTAAAATAGTTAATTTGTAATGTAGAAAAAAATTAATTTTTTTCTTGTTAGAAATATATAAAATAATACTAAGTATTCACTAGAACAAATATTATTAACAATGTCAACCTGATGGGACATAATTTATATATGTGTTTGAATGCATAAAAACTAAAAAGAGTCATTATACATTTATGTATAATAAAGAGAATTTTTTATTATTAAAACTAACGAATAATTGTTAACATTATTTTAAATATTGAAATAATAATGGAAATTAATAATTTAGTATGGGTCGAAGTTAAATATTTCTAAATAGACGACTTTACTTCCATTAATTCCCTTCAAAATATTATTTAAAGAGTGAGAAATTAGATTTAAACTTTAAAAATTTTTACCACCTTACATTTATGCTTTTGATACAAATTTTAGTATGTGAACTATTTATGATTTGTTTGTTCTTGAGAGATATGAAAATAATAATTCGTTTTTTAGATACATTGGACTTTATTCAATACGCATAAGTGGTATAAGTTTTTATACAATTTATATTTAGTTGCAAAAATAATTATTGATCCAAATACATGGATACTGTGACAGTTCATTATTGGTCAACTGAAACTAAAAGTTTTGCAAATAAACAAACGCATTCAATTTTACTAGTTGCTGCTTTGATATTTTCAATGAGCACTACGGTTATGTTGTGTTCATCGATATGGACAGACCATTGGGATAGTGTAGAATGGGATATTGAACAAGTAAAAAAGATAAAAATATTAAGTTTTGTTTTATTAAAGTTTTATATAATTTTTCAAAGGCAATTGAATTGTTAAAAACTCAAAATCAGTCGAAAACTTGGTTTAATAAGGTTTACACCGAATGGATAGTTAACAATACTATATTAAAAGTTACTATTACCACTGAAAAAACAACACCAAGAAATAACGGAGATGATTTATTAGTATTAGCTAAATATAACCACTATAAAAGCGACTATGATTCAATGATAAATGATTTTGGAGAAACAGTCACAGTCATATTAACACCTATGTATGGAGGAATATGGACACAATGTAATGCTCTGACAGGTATACAGATAAAAGCAGTTAATATATTATAAAGTAGAAACGTGCGTTTTAAATAAATCTCTAATTGATCTGGTCATGTTCAATATAAAATTCTTTTATTAAAATTAGAGGGTAGAAGTGAAAATAACATTCAAAAGCATAAAAAACATCAACTATTTTTAGGTTCAAGGGTAAATAATAAGTAGTATAAGTATGCAGAGATTTTAATTTTAAGGAGATTTAAGCAGCAAATTAATTTTTAATTGGATTCGTACCATAAATAATTAATTCTAGAATTGGAATCCTTAACAATATTTCAATTAAAATCGAACACAAAATCTTAAATTCACTTTTTTTGTTATACTTTAAATTAAAAAAAAAATACACTTAATTCTAAATTAAATACATTCTAAATGAGTAGTTTTCAGTTGAAATACAATTCCATTTGTATTTAATTAAAATTAGTTTAAATCATTCTTTTTTAATACCCAATCTAACTAAATACATAAAAGTTTCTCTGATATCCGCTGTGGCCGCAGATTTATTTAAATTTTTCACTAAAATACTCTTAATGCCAGAATATGCTATTTTTAGGCACTGATTGAGCAAAACACATTTAAACATAGAAGCTATAGGTGAAATAATGGTTAATAGTATTAACTATAGGACCGTATTATCTTCATACGGCCATACGCTGCTGATATTCAAATAAAAATTATTAAAATTAAAATTTCAAGTGGTATTAGCCACAATTAATCAATTCTTATTATAGAAATTATTTAATATTTACTATTTACAACGAGTTAATATATGTTTATTAGTAATAATAAAATAGGTTAGCCCAATAATGTATAAGAAATAAAACAATAGAAATCTAAAAATCTTTTTAGATGGACAATTTATACAATTGCAGGAAGAACTAGTCCACCAACTGGATTCAAAATTACCAAAATGTATGAATTATTTAGCAGAAGATAATACTTTAGAAGAACAAGATTTTCGACCAGACTGGCATCTCAGTAAGCAAAATCTAGCAATTCATAATAATACAAATTAATAAAATTAATTATAAACATAAAAAGAAATATTTTAAAAGTAAATAATAAGTTAGAATAAGCAAAAAACACTCTTAAATTTAATATGTCGATGAGAACTTAAATTATTTATAATTTATCATTTAAGTAATGTTGGGTTGGTTATAAGGTTAATAATATATTTATAAGATGCAATATTAGTCTTTTAGTTAAGAAAATTTGTAAAATAGATGTATACTATATGTGAAATTATAAAGACGATAAAAAAAAAAACCCACAACAGGGGGGTCGCGGCACAGTGGTGACGTAGCATAGTTGGATCAAGTATAATAATTTTTATCAATAATTTCAAAAAAATATTCTATTGTTAATTTATTAACTATGTTATTTTGTTGTAATATAGGAATGCTAAAAGTATCAATATCTTGTGCATTAGTTTGTATAATTATTGTCGGAACAGCATTATTAATTGGATTATTTTCAATCCTTCAACATCAAATAAGTGCTATGCTTATTACAGCAGTTTTATACATTTTAGCATGTCAGTTATTTTAATTAGTTACACAATTTATATTGTATACAAATAAATAGTTTTTAAATATATTTTCATATTTTATTTTTAGCTACTTTTGGATTTTTCACACTGGGAATCATGTACAATAAACGTCGCTCAACTAAAATTTATGGACACAAAAATTGTAATCGATCTTTAATATTAATTAGTGGTATGATAAAAATAGGAGGAGATATGTGCCCTACATTACGTTTCTGGGAATATCTACTCACATCAAGAATATATTCCCATAGTTGGAGTATGAGTTTAGGATGGATTGCAGTATTTTTTTGTATAATAACAAGTTTTTTATGGATACTACTATCTAAAAATATGAAGAATGCACCTGCTAACATGATTTTTATCAACTAAAATAATATATAAATATAAGTAATAATGAATATTAGGGTTCGTCAATGATATATTTTTGGATATTGATGATATCGTACCTAATTTCAGCGATATTATATCGCAATACCTAAAAAATAATTATTCCCGATATTGCGATAAATCGATATTAAAAATAATAATTATTTTAATATAATTAAATTATTTAATTTACTATTTAAATGTTTTCACCTAAAATTTTTATTTTCAATAATACCATTAAATTAAATCGTAATTTTTTTTATGAAAATCAGACTATATTTTTCCAACCAAATCAGATAATGATATTAATATAAAAATATGTCATAACGATAATCAAATATTTTCAAATTACTTTTTATTATAAAAAAATAAGTTTATAATATTTAGGTCTATGAAGAAATCAGACTTTATCATTATATATTGGTTATATTAAATTGATAAAATTGTTCTTTATTGAATAATAATATTATATTTTTAGTGTTTTGGTTTTAAATAATAATAATAAAAAGATTTTAAGTGCTGTTTATATTTTTTTTATTGCTTTGTCATAACTGAAAATAATTTTTTCTTTTTTAAATAAATTTCTTTTTTTCAAAAATAAAATTAAAAATTTTATAGAATAAAATAATATATAAAACATCATCTAATAGAGATTTCATTTTTAGCTTCGATGCGAAGCTGAGAAGGTATTGGTGGTTTTACTATGTTTTTTTTTTTAAATTAATTTTTTCTTTTTTGTGTCTGTTACCACTTTTTCTCATATTAATGAACAATATGTCAAAAAATCACAAAAATGTCGGAGTTTATTTTATGATGCTTGGGCCTATTTCTATAGATTTGAATTATTGCATGGTACAGAAGAAGCTCAAGAGGATGTCAAGAAAAGATGTATTTCTTCAGAACCTCATCACGGTGAAGCATGGTGTTTAGTATCAAAAAACATTTGTAATTGGAGACTTACTACTGAAAATATTTTAATGTTGGTTGCTAAAGATTTACCTATTCCTATTTAAATATAATTTTAAATTCTGATCTAAACATTTAGTGCATTGCTTCTATTATTATTAATTTAATGTAAAATTTAATACAACAATGTATATTATTTTAATATATATATGCATTATAAAATACTGAAGTACTTATAACTATGTAGACTACAATATTTACAATACAAAATTATTTTAATTATTTTATATTTTCTTATTTATATATTGATTGATTTATTATTTATAAATTTTTCTAGGGGGCGTATTTCATAATTTTTGGGGAATTTACTATATCTCAGATATATTAGCTTCGATGCGAAGCTGAGAAGGTATTAATTTTACTATGATGCTTTTTTTTTTTTTTGTGTGTGTCTATTACCACTTTTTCTCAGCTCTCACTGTCCCGATTTTGATGAACAATATGTCAAAAGATCACATATCATATCTAGTCGAAGACATTACCCTCAAAAATTGAAAAAATTTCCCTCATTCCCCGTAAATGGGTGAAACCTCCAAAAAAATTACAAATTTAAAAATCGCTAATTTTCGAAATTTTTTTTACTTAAAATTGCCATAACTTTTTTAAAAATAACCAAATCAATATAATTTTTTTTTATAAAGATGCATGATATAATTACCTTTTATTTGGTATATTTTTTTTATAAATCTGACCCTTTACCAGCCCACAGGGGAGGATTTAAAATGACAACTTTTTCACAAAAAATTAAATTTTTTCAACTTTACTTTTGAAAATGTTCAAGTCTGTCACTTTTATATATATCTTAAATTAAAGCTAATGTAATCAAGGAAAAAAAAAATTTCCAACTTTATTTTGTCTTCACGGTGAAAATGGCTACTGTATGCTATCTTTGTGTTAAATATATAAAATTCTCGATTTTATATTTTACATTTTTAACTTTATAACGCTATAACTTTTTGAAAAATGTATGGATCAATACAATTTTTTTTTATAGAAATAATATTTATATACCTCGTTAATTTGACATATTTTTTTTTAAATTGGACTAGTTCAAATCTTTAAAATACATATAGAAAGTAGAACTTTTTCAACTTAATTTTTGAAAGTGTTCCGGAAATACTGATATTTTTATATGTATCTTAAATTAAAGTTTATGTAATATATTTTAATATTAAAAAAAATTTTGGACTTTATTTTATTTTCACGGTGAAAATGGATACCGAATGCTATTTTTGTGTGAAAATTCTCGATTTTGTATTTTACATTTTTAACTTTATTATGCTATAACTTTTTGAAAAGTGTATAGACCAACACAGTTTTTTTATGAGAAATAATATTTAAATCCCTATTTCATTCGACATACTTTATCTTAATCAGGATATAAATAAGGAAATAGCAGATCATGTAGCTCTTGGAATAATCCACAAATTTTTTAAATAAAACACTATCTAAAGATTTACATCAAAGCGTTTTTAACACGCTTATATTAGTTTCACCTGTATGTATGTATGTATGTAAAGATTTACATGGAATCGTTTTTTTTTTTTGATAGTGATTTTAATCACTGTCAGATATCATTATACTTGATACAACTATGCTACATCACCACTGTGCCGCCACCCCCTTGTGCTTGATTTTTTTTTGTATGTCTGTTAACACTTATTCTTAACTCTCATTAGACCAATTAAAAAAAATTTATCCCCATGTTGTTATCGATCAGTTATCTTATTAGATAAATCATTTACTAGGTTGTAAGTTGGTCAAACATATATGTTTACATTCAAAAAGCTTAATTTGATAAAATTTTAAGGAGGAAACAGGATCAATTTTTTTTGGAAATTTTAGAACGTAAGCGACAAAGTCTAAATACATAAAAAATTACACACAGTTAAAACTTAAATATAGAGATTAAGTGGGCTAATAATTATAGGTTTTATTTTAGCTTCGATGTAAAGCTGAGAAGGTAATAATTTTACTATTATTTGTTTTTTATTTTTTATCTGTTACCATTTGTTCTCAGCTCTCACTGGACCGATTTTGATGAACAATATGTCAAAAGATCACAAATCGTATCTAGTCGAAGACATTACCCTCAAAAATTATAACATTAAAAATCGGTAATATTCCACCTTTCTTTAACTTTTTTTTAAATGGATGAATAGAACACAAAATTTTTTTGATAGACACATTTAATTATAATCAAATTTTATAATATACTGAATTGAGTAGATTTGTTTAACAACTTTTGATTGGTTTTTTTTAGTTAGAATAAATCATTAAAATTAATTAAGTTCTGAATATTTCATTGTAGAATCTTTTTTTTGAACACCAAAAGTTACTTAGAAATTATTATTATTTCTATTAAAATTATTTATTATAATAAAAATGCACAAAATAGTGATTTTAACGAAATATTAAACTTTTTTCATAAATTTATTGCAAATAGTAATTATAACATTTTTTGACTGCATACTAATCTTAACAATAGCATTTTTTAAATTATCATATTTTTTATTTAATGATATCAATTTCAAGCTTGCAAATATATCTAAATGTTACGGTAGCAAATTAAACTTTTTTTTACTATAAACTTTCAAAAAAATAGGTTAATAATGACATTTTGAACTGATTATTAAGTTGAAAAAATTAATTTTTTGTAAAAAAGTTGTCATTTTAAATCCCCCCCTATGGGCAGGTAAAAAGTCAGATTTATAAAAAAAATATACCAAATGATAGGTAATGACATCATGCATCTATAAAAAAAAGAATTATATTGATATGTTTATTTTTAAAAAAGTTACGGCAGTTTTTAGTACAAAAAATTGAAAAAATTTTGAAAATTAGCGATTTTTAAATTAGTAATTTTTTCGGAGGTTTCCCCCATTTACGGGGAACGAGATAATTTTTTTCAATTTTTGAGGGTAATGTCTTCGACTAGATACGATTTGTGATCTTTTGACGTATCATTGAAAGAAATCGGTTAGTTGAGAGCTGAGAAAAAGTGGTAACAGACAAAAAAAAAAAAAAAAAACACATCTTAGTAAAACCAATACCTTCTCAGCTTCACATCAAAGCTAAAAATAAATATAGTTTAAAAAACTAAAAAAACACGCTTTTAAAGCACATCGAACTAAAAAGTTAAAAATAATTTTTATTTAAAGAAATTTATCAAACTAAACTTTTTTGATCATTTTGTTTGAAATAAAAAGTCTAAAAACGATATGTATAAAAATAATTATTTGCTGGATATTTTTAGAAAGCCAAAATGTTAATTTTATAGTTTAAGTTATATTTAAAATTTTTCATGAACATAGTTCTTGTTTACAATTAAGATTACTTAAAGTTAAACATTTTAAAAGTGTACGAATAGTTGTAATTAAGAGAGTAAGGAGTTCAATTTTTTAATGTAGAGGATACTGTAAAAAGGTAACTTACATTTGTAAGAATCATTTCAATAAAATTGTTATTTATTATTTTATTTCAGAAGAAGCAAAAAAAAAATTTAAGAAGTTTAGGAATGTATTTGGACGATATTTTGGTCCCCTAGTATCCCAATTTACATTGTTTTTTTAAAGAAATTTTTTATGTAATGAAAGTATCTAAAATATAAATTATAAGTATTGATAGATTTATCTACTTAAGATCAAAATAGCCTAATTTTTATAATAATTTGTTATTCCAATTAAATTCAAAAATACTAATTTATTCTGTATTAGTTTTATGTAAAAATGAACCACCTAATACATAGTAAAATAGGTTACAAAAACAGTTTTGAAAAAGGGCGTACATACACTCCATATAATTTGACAATGTACAACCTTTACGTACATTTTGATTGCTACCATACAACTATAATTTAAAACCGACGTTCATGATTGTTAAATAAGTTTTTACTGTTAAGTTACCGTGAACCGTATAGATTAACGTAAATTTTTTACGATTTGGAAATTAATTTTGAGGTATAACGTAAGTTTATTGAGGTATTACAGATAATGTATATTACGTTGTCATATGATTCTTCGAACAATAATATCAAGTATCAACTATTTTGACGTATAAATAATGCTATCAGTAAAAATATTTATATCACTGAAATGAATAGTCGTACGTTTATCTTATTATTTTTATTTAATGTGAAATCAAATAGAGATCATTTTTAGATATGTAGTCTGGAATTTCTCAACTTATTTGCCGTTAAGTGACTTTTGAAACTTATCTTAGGGTTATTGATTTAAAATAATTTTATTTAGAATAATTTTGAAAAATTATTATTAGTATTCAATTTGTTTATTTTAATATTTTGAACAATGGAAAAAGATGAAAAATTTTTTTACGAAGATGAAGTAGCTATGGTTTCTCCGAAAACTGGACTTGTAAAATATGGATTAGTGTTAACTACCAATAGATCTCGAACTGAAATGGAATTAAAAAAAATGTCTTTTAAAAGCCCTAATGATATAAAAGTAATTTGGCATCCAAATGGAAATGAAGAAGTTCTTTCAGAAGATAAAGTATAATTTAACAAGTTAAAAATTTCATTTTTTTTTATTATATTTAATTTACATCCTAAGGTTATATTAATTGACCGGTCATTGATGCCTGGTGATGTTGTATGCAAAGTAAATGAAGATAAACTTACCCAATTTGGGTATTGTGAAAATATTGATATATATGCTACTGTTAAAGTATTGAATACAAATAAAGTCATTGAAAATGTCAGTTGTCGTAATTTTACTCAAACAAAAGTATGTTTTATTTAAATTTCAAGTGTTTATAAAACTACCCTGTTTGTATTTGTCACTTAATTGATTATATTATATGAATTTAAGATATGCATTTGTCTAAATTTATTTTACGTAGTCTAGTTTAAGTTACTTATATTTTTAAGTAGTAGAAAATTAAAAAAATTGAATGCTGTTTCAGATAACAGCGTGGATTCCATTAACTTATTAATGAATAATAATATGTAAAGTTAACTTAACTCAACTTCATAAATCAAATGTTTTTTAAAGATATAGTACTAGTTTAATACAATTCGACCTATATTACCTCTAATCTATGTATAATTTTTTAATATATTCAAATATAGTAAGTAAATGTCATTTTTTTTTCTATAAAAAAAATCTCTGATTGAGACAACAAGTGTTAGATTTATATATTACTTGTTAGATATCTATCATTCAAAATCTATTCATTGATATGTCATTGGTTATCCATATATTATAAAATGAAAAGTTATTTGATTGAGTTGTTCATATATTTAGAGAAATGTGATACTTAGTATATGCACTAAATTAATTTTTATTATGGTGTAACATTATTTTGAACATAGTCACATACATTATAATGGTAATGATGTATTCAAAAATAATAACTATTGTTTGTTAATTACATTATGACTTACCAGTATGATCTGACAATATAAAATATTTGTAATTTCATTGGGTTTATTTTTATTTAAATGTTTAATTTTCTCTTTCTTAGCCATTTTCAATTGATTCATCAGTTTTTTATGAATCATGGGTTGGTGGAGTTTATGATGTTAAATGTTTAGTAACTTTTGCCTCTCAAGATGGTTCTATTTTCACATTAAAGGATCCTTATAGACAAGACTTTATAAGTTTATCCACAAGTGATGTAAGTTATTTTCATAAATAATATTTATGTATTTGAATTCACCAAAATCTCTAACTTGAAATTGAATATCTAATAAATAATAAAAAAATTTTTGTTATAACATCTGTTAAAAGATTAATCTATCAATAATAGTATAGACATTTTTTCGAAGAACATTGTTACTTAAGAGGCAATATCTTTTTATGTTGCATATGAAAATTACTTTTTGAAACTATAATTGTCTTTGTTTCCTAGCAGTTAATTTTTTAGATAATCTTAGAGATAAAAAAACACATATATTCTCTCTTTTAATTCGTAAATTATGATTATACAATAAATTGTATCTGTTTGTATGAGTAACTTTACTTAATATAACAAAAAAAAAAAAATTAAATTATACATTTATATTATTAATAGTTTACATTTTTTTATATATCTAAAATAATTTAAATGAAATAAACAAATGTTTTCTGAATAAAACCCCCAAAAAAAATTAATTGTGCATAAGAATATATCAGTAATATTTTATATCTTTTATAAAATGTCAAACATATATAAACAAGATTTTGCCACTAATATACTAATTTTAAGATCATTATTTATTAACAATAATTATTGTTCATAAATTAATGAATTAATATACAATTATTAGGTATATTCAATTTATTATATACAGTGTTTAATAAGTAAGGATACTGGTCAATTGTTATAAACTTTCCTTACTTACTGGACACCTATATAAAAATTACAGTGATTAAGATTAAAAAAAAAAAATTTAATATTATTTTTTATTACTATGAAGTTATTAGTAAAGTATCATATAAGTAAACAATTGATTTAAAAGTTAATTAAAAAAAAAAATGCTATTATAATATTTATTGAAATTAAGATTATCATTTTATTGTAATTCTTTTTTTTTTTAGTTGGCTAAAAATCTTTGATGTCAAATCCTTTATTTTTTATTATTAATTAATTTTATTAAATAGCAACGTACATATAGTATTATTTAATAGATAATGATGTAATTAAGAAAATGACTGTTGGATACCAACTTATTGAACAGTACTTAGGAATTTATTTTCATTTTATATCTTGGTGGGCGGAAGAGTATGACTGGAAAACAACTCGTAATGAAAATATCAGCACTTACTCCTGTTACTCTTACTCTTACACTTACCTCTAGTCATTATTTAAAATTGTTTATAACTTTTGGAAGACTGGTTTATCAATCAGTAATTTTCTTAAATACAATATTTTTATCTTATAAACTAAGTAATTATGTATGTTGCTAATAAAAAAAAAAAAAAATTGATACCCGTATAGTATTTTAACATTTATTATTATAACAAATAATAATATATATTTTTAATAAAAAAATTGTGATTACAACTTTATAAAATAATTTTACAGTTTAAAATTGGCAAAATGTTGATAATTTTTTTTACTTAATTTTAGAGTTTTTCACTGGACGATAATGTATTTTACCATGGTCAAAAGTTAAAAATGTGTCTAGACTCTTTAGAAAATGCAAAATTTTTAAAAATTAGTAATATGATGAACTATTTATGGCATAATTATAAAAAAAAAAACAAATATGGTACTAAGGTAAAAATATTTTTTTTTTTCTTATGAACAATTTTTTATATAATAATGTTGATTTTTAGTGGATTAAAGTATACGTTCAAGATATAACTGTTTCTTCAGTTGAAGTAGAGTGGTATTGTCAGACATATGGTAGAACTAAACCTCGTGAAGATCAATGGCCTGAAAGAATAATTTCTGGAGATAATTTAAAAAAGTAAAATATTATCCTTAATTTTGAAGTTTAAGAAATAATAGATTAAATAAACTGAAAATTAGATTGCCAATATTTGACTTCAAGTAGTTTGGTGTTTGGTTTGTTAGAAAATATAATAGTTACCCAAATTGTCTTTTAAAATAATATTAATAGAATCTGGTAATTAAATATTTATTATTATTATATCACTATAAGGCTAAAAACCAAAATAATTTTTGGTAATTTTTTTAATAAATTAGTTCATCTACATCAAACATGTTTTTATTTTTGTGTATGTTAGAAAAAATGATTACAAAAACCAAAAATATAATGAAACTACTTAAAAATCCTTAATTTAATTTAAAATTGGACTTTAAAAAAGTTTAAAAACCCAAATATTGGTTAATTTCATAAGGTCAATTTTAGGTTTGGTTAACATTTAAAAGTGTTTTTTATTATACTTATGACTCTTATGATTATAAACCTTACAAATTCTTGAATAAAATTTGCTATAAGTCAACTAACTTACTAGATACAATAAAAAATCTTAGAAAACCGAAATAATTTAGGTTCTTAGCCCTGGTATCACCTTTAGTTGAGATTTTGAAATTTTTTTTTTTGACTACATGAATGCTCTCCATTTTCTAGGAGAATGTCACACTTTGATATAATTATTTTGAAAGTGTTTTTTATACAATTAAATTAATACATTTATGAATATAACAGTTTTGTTTAAAATAACTGTGAAAATAATTATCTTAAAATAAATTACCAAATAAGCTATACTAAATTTTTACAAATTTATGATCAGCTAAATATATTTACAACTTACACATGATTTTAAAAGTATACTGAATTGTATTAAACCTTTTTAATTAGGATTACATTAAATCAGAAAAATATTAATAACACAAGATTGTTGTATGTTTAAACAATAATAAAATAAGTATAACTATTAAATTTTTTCAGATTAAAAACAATAGATTTGTTTGATTCCTGTTCAATTCAAGTGGGAGATACACATTGGTATCAAATTAAAGATTCAGATTCTATTTTAACAATGAAACAATGGCGTGCCAAATGCACCAAAGGATTCAGTTCAGAATCTGGATTACCTATTAACAAATTAAAAAAAAACAATGATACAAATAAATTACATTTTAAGAAAATGAAAGATTATGTAGATGAAATAGATAACACATGTAAATACTAATATTTATTTTATTTATTAACAAAAAAATGTATAAATATAATAATATTATGCATTAAATTTTTTGAACATTAAAAAAAAATGCAAATATTGTTTCAGATAATCAAAATATTGTTAACAAAACAGGTCAAATAATGCAAAGATCTGAAAAATTAAATAACAGGGAAAATAAACAGTACTTTGGTCAAGTTAAAAACTGTGATGCTAAGTCATCTTTTAATAATTTAAGTGTGTTAATTTATAATTTTAACCATAAAAATGGAATACATTCATATAATTAATATAAGATGGATGGGTTTCCTAATGTTATATATAAATTTATACTTACTATTTTTTATGTATATTAAAAATATTAATAAAATAATCAATAAAAAATTGTATCTGAGGTTAAGAATATTTTACTATTAATATAAATTTTTGTCTTATACCATATTACTTGTAACTTTGTTATTATGATTATCAAGGATTAATTTAGAATATATATTTTAGGCAATAATTCTGTGCACACATTAAAATCAAATAGATTGAAAAGAAATAGAATGTGGAAATCATTAGTTAAAAAAAGTAAACAGTTTAAGGTGCCAAAAGTTTCTACAAAGCCAAATTCTAAAGTTGTTGTTGAAGTTTGTTATACAAGATCAGTTGTTGATGTAGTGTGGCAAGTATGTGATATTTCCTGAGTAAAGTAGTGTTTTTAATTCATAATATTTAAACAATTGACGGCCTAATGCTACAATACAACTAGCTTTTCAATAATAAAAAAAAAAAAACAAATTTAGGATTAGTTAGTTAAAAATATTGTTATTAACTAGAGTCTTTATACCTTGTTATTAAAGACTGAGGTTGAGAATTAAGTATTCCCACTAAGTAGCTTAGTGAAGAAACTATTGCTGAGATAGTAATTTATCTGAATTCAATTCCTAGAAGCATATTTATTTTTATTTCCTAGTTTCTAACCTTAAAATTTAATAAACATTCATTGTTTCATAATTTCTTATAAATGTGAACTGTTTTGATACCAAAAATTGTTGAGTATATCTAATTATGCTAAAAGTATATTCTTTGTATTATTTTGCACTGGACTGTTAGATTTTTATACCGTTATCACTCCCCTTTATAAATAAAAAAACTGGTTATTTTTTTTTGGCTGTTGTTACATTTTCTCAGCTTTCACTGGAATAATTTCTTTTAATCATACATCAAACAATCACAAATTGTATCTAGTTGAAGACATTATCTAAAAATTTGAAAAAATTTCCCTTGTTCCCTGTAAATGGCGCAAATCTTGCCAAAAATTATGATTTTTAAAATCTGTAAATTTTGACATTTTTTTCACTTTTTTTTTCTTAAAACTGCTATAACTTTTTGAAAAATGAACGAATGAACATAACTTTTTGTTATATTGAAACTTTAAGTAATTTCCTTTTATTTGATATAATGTTTTTGAAAATCTGACCCTTTATCTGCCCACAAGAGGGGATTCAAAATAGCAACTTCTATACTCAATTTTTTCTACTTAAATTTTGAAAATGTTACGTCCTTTAAACATATGTCAAATTAAAGCTTATGTTACATACTATTTTAAATTAAAATTTTATTTTACTTTATTTTTTTATCAGACAATTTCCCCTTATATGGGAGGCATTCAAAACTTAAAACATATGTGTAAAAAGTAGAACTTTTTCAACTGAATTTTTGAAAATGTTACAGAAATACTGCGTTCTTTAAACATATGTTAAATTAAAGCTTATATTATGTACTATAAGATGATCTATTATCTATGTGCAAATGACTGTCAAAATTGAACAAAAAATCAATGTTATTTTGGAACTTAAAACTGCCATAACTTTTTGAAAAATGAACGAAAATAAAAAAAAAATTTATATAAACACCTTACGTATTTCTTTTTTATTTTATATAAATTTTATGATAATCTCACCCTTTACTTGCCCATGGGGGATTCAAAACAGCAACCTTTTTTTTTTACAAAACTCAACTTAACATTTGAAAACATTCTGAAAATACTGCGTCCTTTAAACATATGTCAAATTAAAGCTTATGTTAAATACTATAAAATTAAAAAAAAAATTTGTCCCGACGACTTATCTTCTACGTGCAAAAAGCTGTCATAGTTAAAAAAACATGCTATTTTTATGTGTCAAATATTATTTTTATTTGTAATAAGTCCACCAGTAAATAGAAAATGTACATGAATCTAACTTACATTAAATATAAATTTATACTTAATTTAATTATTTTGCCAAAGTTAAGAAATTTTTTTTTGAATTTTTGAAAACTTGAATATTTATATAAAAAGTAGAATTTTTTCAACTTAACTTATGAAAATGTTCCAGGAATACTGCGTTATTTCAATATATGTTAAAATAAAGCTTATTTTATGTACTAGAAGTTCAAAAAAATGTGTAATGACGACCTATTTTCTATATGCAAATGGCAATCGAAGTAGACACAAAAAATAGGAGTTAATTTTGCTTTTGAAATAATCTACCAGTTTCTTAAAATTAAACATTATCTACAAATTTGCATTGAAGCGTTTCTTATGATAGTGGTTTTAATTACTGTCAGATATCATCTATACTTGTCCCAACTATGTCACGTACATACTGTGCCATAACCTCACTGTGTTACCATTTTTATTAACGTTTTTTATATAACTTGTTTATTAAGTATAAAAATATACATTATTGTACATCATAATCATAATATCTTTGATGTATTATAATTTTTGTTGTGTAGGATGGTACAAAAGAAACTGGAGTTTCCTCTATTGACTTGTATCCTATACAGACCCTTGATGATCTTGAATTTTTTCCTGGTGACTTTGTCATAGAAAAAAATAATTTATCAAATGCATATGGTGTTATTGAATCAGTTGAGCACTCTGAACGTACAGCTTGTGTACAGTGGTTTAAGGTTAATCCAGAAAATCCTTCATTGTAAGTGAATTATTATTGATGATCTCTTTTTATAATTTTAGTTGTGTTAAAATTTTTTTATTTTAGACCAAGCCCTATTGAAAAGACTGATTATAGTGTTTATGACTTACGTGATCATCCAGACTTTCATTTTAAATCTGGGTGTCTTATCATACATATTAGTCCAGATAGTTATCCAAATAAAAATAATTTGACTGCTGGGCAAGTATTAAGTGCAGGATCTGATGGCAAAGTATGATGATAGTATTTAAAAAAATTTAATGATGAATTAGATTGTGTTAACAAAAGTCTATTCTGTTCACTATTGTTAATAACAATAGTTATACTTATATTCTTTATCGACAAAATTATTGATACAGTCAATAATTTTAATTTTCTAATTTTTGTACCAAAACAAATAAAAACATAAAATTTTATGCTAAAAAATTTAAAAAATTTTTTAGCTATTACAGTTTCTACTAGAGAGTATTGCAAAAACCTAAAATATTAATTAAATACTAAGAATGTTAGTTAAAAAAATATATTTATGACAGAACTTATTTAAATTTATTATAATGTAGCTTCTTAAGTAAAATTGACCATTAAACATTTAACAAATTAATTACTGAAGTTTCATAAAAATTATGTATTTATATTAATTTTAGGTACTAGTCATGTGGGTTAATGGAGAAAAAACTAAATGTTGGCCGCAAGAATTATTTGTAGTTAAACTTCATGATGATGATGCATTCAGCTTTCTTGATGATGAGTTTGATGATGATGATGATGAAGAAATTGAAGATGCACCTCTTGCTGGAGATGATAACTTATCTGAAGATTGGGTATCATTGAAAAGTCCTGATTCGTTTGAGTAAAATGTTTAAATTACTATTTTTTCTTTATTAGTAGGGCTCCTAATCTTTTTTTCTTTATAATATTTTAAACTGTTAGACACTTAAGAAGTCTATTGTTTTGATTTAATGAACATACATAAATTTGTAGAGGACAATATTATTATTATGAATACTACTATCAGCTTACTTTTTTTTTTATAATTTACAGAAGTCGTGATAGAGAAAATAATGAAAAATTTCCTAAGTTGTTATTTCAATCTTTGAAAAAAGCCTCCATAGGTATGAAATCATTTTTAGATGCATTAGTTCATAATCAAAGTGCAGATAAAATTACTGAATTACATAAAGCTTGGGAAGAAATCAAGTCAGTTCATATTATTTAATAAATAAAATATAAATTATATCATTAAAAAATAACTTAATATATGATTGTAGAATTGGATTTAATGTAAGTTCATTCCTACCAGCATCAGAAAGTGAAGAAATAGAATTATGTTACAAAGATTTTATGGAAAATTTTACAATAATAATTGATAAAATGATTATGAAAATAGGTTTTACATTAAATGAATTTTTTTTTTTTTTTTTAAACATTAAAAATTAATTTAAGTTTTTTTTTAGAAAACAAAACAGAAATTACATCAGAAGAACATACATTAATAAGTGTGAGTACTAATTGCCTATAGTAATAATGATTATACATTTATAACATAGTATTTACATTTCTTTAGGATAGTGTGGATAAATTAAAAAAAACTGTGTCTGATTTTATGGACAAAGTTAATCAAGCTTTTAAATTATCATATGGTTCTAATAATTTAAATAGTTATTCTCCTTCAAATGTATTTGATGAAAATATTGAAAAAAAAGAATATAAAAATAGTGCTATTAATATTGGTGAGTGTAATCCTGATGATAAGTTCGAACACAAAGACTATAATAAAGATCCTGAATATGTAGAAACATTATGTGAAATAGGTGCTATAATTAAACCTGAAGAAGCTGGAGGTAATTATTGAATTATTTTTAAATAACTGAGAATTATATTAGAATTAGAGCTAGCCTGATATTACCATTTTATGATATCCAATAATCCAATACTTCAAGTTATTAAATTAATACAATTATATAAATTTAAAATTAAAAAAAAATTGAACTTCAGAATTTTAATAGTTCAATGTATCACATTACTTAAAATCTTAGATTGATTTGTATCTCAATTATGGTAGTAACAAGTAATTGCTATTGGTGCAATTGATTCTTGTTTGTTCAGTTTTTAGAGCACCAATTAACTTAGAACAAAATTCCACAAGGTTTTTTTTTTGTGTCTGTCTATATAGATACTGCACTTTTACTCGACTGATTTTGCTTAGGGAATAAAATCTATTAGCTTTATATTTGAGTAATCAGCTATTAAAGTAAAAAAATACAAAATTTTCATTCAAATTTATATATATATATATATATATTTTGCTACATTTTTTAACCTAAACCAAATTAAAGCTTTTTAAATATACTTTAAAAATTAACAAAAATATTGTTCTAACAACTTTACTAAATAATTGGTGGCCAAATTTAAAAATTCTAATAAAATTTTTTAAATCTTTTGTAAATAATCAATTGAAACATTTATGCTAGTGATGTTATTCACTTGTAAAATTTTAATCTATAGTGAAGGCTACTATGCTGGATCTTCACTATGATGGGTTTTTTATTCAATTATATATTACATTACTTGAATATATTTTTTATAAAGGAATAAATTATTATATACATTTAAAAGATTTAAGCAAATTGCATTCATAATGATAAAATTTTAATTTTATAAATAATATTTAAAAAAAATTTGATTATTTTATTAGAATATTTTATTTTATTTTTTTGTAGTATTAGAATAAAAATTATATTAAAAAAAAACAATTCTAATACAACTTGTATTGCATATATCCATTGATTTCAATATTGAACCGCATATCTGTAAAGCCCAAATTAGAATATATTATAAATTTCTAACTAGTAATTGTATAATTTATTTATTCAGTATTTTACTCATAATTATCATAGGTTCTAAAATATGAAAATCAAGAAAGCTTATAAAAATTTGGAAGTTGATATAAACCTCTAGAAATATTCCATATTTAATATCTTAAATTATGTTATTTTTATTTTAAAAAGCTTAAATATCAGTTATATATATTGAGCTCATTAATTTAATCATTGTTTTTCCTAAGATTTATAATAATTATAAATTAATAATTAAAAACTTAATTATTAAGTCATTATCTCTAAGAATAAGTTAGGGCCAAAATATAATTTCTCAAAAAGAAAAAAGTTTTATGGTTGCTCAAAAAGTAATATAAATATTTTTTCTTTACAATAACATCTAAATAAAATTTGTTAGAGACTTGTTTCTTTACTATTCTTATTAGTCATACAACACATGTATTTTTGTAAAAAATTCAATTTAAAATTGTTGGAATCAACTTTTTTTGATGATTAATTATATATAAAATCCTGTTTTAATTTTGTATTTTAAAGCTAAAACTGAATGAAAATAGTTTTTATGTTTTATTTTAGTTTTTACTATGTTGGATACAGTTTTAGAAGAAACGCATAAGTATTTCAATGATAATAATGACCTAAATTCTTCTATGTTAAAAATTATTTCAAAAGATATACAAATTCTTAAAAAAAGTTTACCTGCTGGAATTTGGGTGAAAACTTTTGAAAATCGAATGGCAAGTAAAATAATAATGTAATAAATATATTAATATTTACTAAATTTGCTATGACAAAAAAAAATTTAAAGAGTATATGATAAGTGGTCTACTATGAGACAATTCCATCATTTTTAAAATGCAATCACTTAATTGTCAATATTTTACTGTATCTTATATTTAGTATCTCGAATGCTATATTTGAAAAATTTACCTTACAAAGCTTTTTTAGTAGATTAAATTATTTGTCTTTAATCATTTTTTTAAAATATATTATCAATTTATATTTTGAAAGTCATTTACATTATTTAGAGGTTTAATAATAAATGTCTCTCAATAAATCAATTGAACAATAATTTTGGATTAAATGTCTGTTTTTAGGAAATGTTAATAAAATATTTTTCCTATCATTGTAATGATAGTTTTTTAGCTATATTTAAAATAATATAAAAAAGTACAATTACCCTTCTCAATTCTGAGGTGAGAGAGTATTCATATCACTACCTATCAAGGTAGCTCATAGTATTCTCTACCTAATTTTATTTGACATATGATTTACCTCTGTCTCAATGTAGAACATTTTATCTAAATTTCATTTATTTATATGGTCTTAATCAATCAAGTTTTACAAAATATTTTTTTGTGCATCAAATTCATTTTTTTTACTTAGGATTTATATTCTATTATGATCAGTGGACCTGAAAAAACACCATATCATGGAGGATTGTTTATGTTTGATATTAAGTTACCTGCTACATACCCACATCAACCTCCTCTCTGCCATTATTATAGTTACTGTGATGACAGATTAAATCCAAATTTGTATGAAGATGGTAAAGTATGTTTAAGTCTTTTAGGAACTTGGTCTGGTCAAGGAGTAGAACTTTGGTCACCTAAAGATTCAAATTTATTACAATTACTTGTTTCAATTCAAGGTATTTTTATTCATGTATCAATATTATTATAATTGGAAAGAATTTTTACTACTAAAATTTTATCAATTTAAGGATTAATATTAGTTAATGAGCCATACTACAATGAAGCAGGTTTTGATCTGCAACGAGGTCAGAAATTAGCGAAGGAAAATTCTCGAGTATACAATGAAATGGCTTTAATTAAAGTAGTTCAATCTATGACAAATATGCTAAAACCTAAATTATTGTAAGTATAATTAAATCAAATTATAAGAACTATTGCAAGTGCTACATGTCCACTCTATGTATTAAAATCCTTGTTACTTAAGCAACTTATTCAATTCAATTTTAAGAATACTTGCCTTAAAATTATTATTGACATTTCAAAGTATTTTGTAAGAAAAAGTTTTAAAAATTGCTATTTTAAAGTTAAAAATAAATATTAAAATATATACTTTGAACATAGTCTAAGTAGACAATATTTATTAAAAAAAATAATTCAACAAAATGATAAATGAATCAAGTTACTGAATTTATCACATATTTGTCATTCATTCTGTATTCTCCTTCTCTGCTTGCACACAATCTTCCCCTGTTGATTTTTTTATCTCTGTACCTACGTTTTTATTTCTTCGATGTTAAGATTATCATTCAAAAACCCTAAATAACTAGGTTACCATGGGGTTGGCACTCCAGTAGACATCACAGAGTGAATTCACTCTGTATAAATATAAATATATGTATGTAACGTTAACCTTTCAATTTCTTATAAATATTTTTTTTGGCTTTCGTTAGTTATATATATATTTCCATATATGTTATAAAATATTTTTTAAGTTGATTTCTCATACCTTATAAGGGTGTTAATTTACTTATTTATAATAGCAACATACATAATTAATTAGATAATAAAATAAAAAATGATGTAATTAAGAAATTTACTGATTGATAAACCAGTCTTTCAGAAGTTATTAATAATTTAAAATAATGACTAGAGGTGATAATTGGGTGCTACTTTTTTTATTACTATACGTTTATTGGCCTCACTTCCCTTCTTCCACCTAGGTATAAAAATATTAATAACTTCTGACATACTGGTCCAAAAGTAGTTATCAATCAGTCATTTTCTTAAATACATAATTTTCTATTTTATTAGCTAGTTAAATATGTATGTTATAATTTAAAAAGATAAAATTAATATCCCTATAAGACATAAGAGATAAACATAAAAAGTATTTTTAATAGATAAATAGAAAAACATATATGAAACTAACAAAAGCCAAAAAAGAAAAAAATTCATAAAAATATTATTGCTTTAAGAGAAATTAGATTGTTAAAATTGGACCAAATTATTTGTTGATAACAACTTTAATGTAAGCATTAATTGAGTTAAAAATAGTTTAATACTTAGAGTGGGTATATAGCAAGGGTGTAGTACATATCACCACTTTTTACATCAATTTTTTGTAAAAAAAAAAAAAGCTTAAAAATGGCTATTTATTTATTTTGAAAAAAAAAAAAAAATTTATTATTATTATATATTAATAATAGAAAATTGAATTTGATGTGTCTAAAATTGCAGAAATTGTTTTAAAAAAATTACATCCAAATGATTGTTGGATTTTAAATGTCTAGGTTACTCACCTATATATGTAAAAATGACAACATTTTAATTAAGTACCTCATCGTCATAAAAACAATTCATTAATTGTTAACATTTGTTTAATATAAGTGAATTTTTTTTGTTAGTGTAGCATTGATATTAGTAACATTGTTTTTGAAATAAGTATCTACAATTTTTAGTTATTATTGTCTTTTTGAGTTAAATATTTTTTAGTTTTAAATTAATATTTTTAATGTAATTTTAATATAATATTATTTTATTTTATTGTTAAATTTGTCTATTTTATTATTTTTATAGAAAAATAAAAAATAACACTGAATATTTTGAAGAAGAAATTTTAGAACACATAAAAATTCATGGACCAAAGTATGATATGTCAATGTATTATTATAATACCTACATTAATACAATTTTTTTTAATTTTATTAGATTAATTCATTCTATTCAAACATGGATTAGCATGTCTGAACAAGAATTAAGTGAAGGTAATAATTATTAAATATATTTTTAAGTATTAATACATTTTAGTTGTATAATATACTATTTTTAATTATAATTTCTTATTAACCAACTATCATTTAACTACAGATCTAGACTTTAAGTCTAGAAGTTTTTAATTATATTTATATAGTATAATATAATGTTGCCGACTTTATATTGGCCAAATGATTTTACTTTTATAGCAATATCTTGTGGTTGGAAAAATAATCATTTTCAATTTCTAATAAATTAATCATTGAACTATTTTGGATCAAAAGTTATTAAAGTTTAACCTGAAAGGGCATTTTTTTATATTTTAAAAATTATATTATACAATTAATTATTAAAAATAACTAAGTGTATATATCAAAAACAAAAGTTGTATTAAATTAAAATTACTTATTATTTTAGAAATAGAAATAATCTAATTTTTTTTTATCAGATGAAAAAAATCTTCCTGGATTTCCATTATTGCCACTTTCAAAAGGTTTTTGCTTATCTGTAAGTAAAGCAATAGAAGCTTATAAAGATGTATTGATATCTTTAAACATTATCTCATAATATTTTTAAAAACATCTTAATAATTACTATATAAATTATTCATACATTTTCCGGACAGTTAATATTTTTCATTTAAAATACTTGCTATATTTACATTTTTATTTTTAATAAAATGTTGTTATTCATATTATAACTCTTTAATAATTTGTTAATAAAATTAATATACAACAAATAATATTAAATTCATTTTTTTATAGATCAATAAGTGTTTGTAAATTCTATACATTATACTAAGTAATTATTTTTAATTGTATCAATTTTTTATGTTATTACTTTTTCTATACTATTTTTGTATTCTTTATATATTTTATTAAGTTTTGTATATTTTTTTGTAAAATATTGTTATTTGCGCTATATTAATGTTTTGAAAATTGCATCAAATGCCTTTCTTAATTGTAAGTTCAACTAAGTATTGAACTGAAAAATATGTGATATAAAATATTCTCTATGTATAGTAAAATATTTACAGTTAATTTATATATTTATGTATATATACATATTAAAGTGTTATTTTTTTATCCTCCAATTATATTAATATTGTTATGGAATGTAATAGATAAGAATAATAAAAATCGAGGAATAAAGTAATTAATATTTTTCTTTTAATTATAACACTTCATTTTTATTTTTTTTATTGCGATAAACTCAAAAATTACCAAACATAGCTTAAATCTTGTCATGCAAGTATAAAGAATAATTTATTCATCATTCTCTATTTAAAAATACTTATATAGCCCTTTAATATTTAATTTTTGGAAGACTAAACCAAAATGCAACTGAAAAGAAATTTACTTCTTCTTTTTCTAGTTTCTTATTAACATATAACAAAAAAAAAATGTATATATTTCTAATAAATATATTAAAAACTTGTCTGTTCATACAAAAAATACTAGCTAACAAGAATGTCATGAACACTCAATCCATTGAACGACTAACATCTATGTTNATTTATTCATTTATTAGAATGTAAAATTTAATTAATTCAATGTGTTAAATTATAAAAAAATGTATATATTTCTAATAAATATATTAAAAACTTGTCTGTTCATACAAAAAATACTAGCTAACAAGAATGTCATGAACACTCAATCCATTGAACGACTAACATCTATGTTTAGACTATTGGTGAGAAAGAATGGAAGGGAAGTAGAGAAAAAAAACAATTTATAAATTATTAGTCCTATTTATAGGGAGTTTTATCTACTTGATTTGAGTTTTTGATTGTATGTTTTGATACAACACATTTTCTGGCAGACTATTTGAATATTTAATATTTCACAGCATATAATATTTAGGATATTCAATAAATTAGTAAACAGGTAAATTCTGATGAACAACAAATACCCTTCACTTTACTTTTTGAATATCTTATATGTATTAATATAATTAAAAACGCATTTTTATTATTTAAATTTTTTTTTTTTTGTATTTATTTACATTTTAGAAAAAAAAGATCAAATTTATTTTGATGTACATAACATTCTAATTTTTACATAATTACATAAATTTAATTTAAAAAGTTTTTGTATGTTTACCCATTTACAAAAACTTAACTAGGCCATGAAAGAATATCATTCATAGCAAATTGATGAGTCCAGTACCTAGCAATTGCATCATATGTTTGTCTATCATTATTATAGAGATGAGCAATATCTGGTTCCATACATACATCACAAAATGGATCTGTTAGCAATGACTGAATAGATATCAATACTTTAGCTAAGGTTAAAGCTAGACTCCAATTATGATGAATTGAATCTAAACCAATATCTCCATGACGAGATATATTAGGATGAAATATTTTGGTTAAAAATCTTACAACTGGAGGACTCATGGGATATCTAAAAATATAAAAATTTCATTTCATTTAATTTTGTTGTTATTTTTATTTTATTGACATTCATAAGACAGGGGATATATAATATAACACAATTTAATTTACTTTATTTAATAGGGTTCGGTTTTTGATTATTTAAAATCTTTAACAATCAATCGACTACATTTAGATAAGCTAAATAGTTAAATTTAGTAAAAAAAAAAAAAAGGGTATGTTTTTTATTTTAGTCTACAATTAATCCAACAATTAGTTTTCTTTTATTTCAATTTTGGCTGGAAAAGTTTGTCATCTTTCTAACTCGTAATGTTAAGTTAGATTTAAAATGTAAAGTTAAGTTATCATTCATAAGTTAACAAATTTTAATAGTAAACTCAGTTAAGATACTAGTTATTTTAAATAGTAATAATAACTTTTTAACTAAAGTTAGCTAATAGAACCTTTTTTTATTCAATAGGAAGAATAAATTTCAATTATCTACTATAAAAACTGCAATGAGAAAATTTATTTTTTAACAATTAATAGTATTAATAAAAAACAAATAACACATAACTCTGTTATTGCTATTCAAAACATACAGTCCAATACCTTATTGCGGTGTATAATCCATTTTTTTTCTTGAAAATTTTTATTTTATTTTGTACTATACTAATAGAGATGAACTGGTTGTTGGCCACAATTTAATGTTTTTTTCTCATTATTTTAATATTTAATTAATTTGAAAATATGTATTTTTTCATATTATACAACAAATTGATTGGTAAAGGAACTAGAATAATTTAAGTTAATTAAATATTGTAATTACATTATTATAACTAAAAAAAAAAAAAAACGGTAGCACAGTGAGAACGGGGCATATTTTAATCCAGTATAGTTTAAATCTGACAATGATTAAAATCACTATCATAAGAAACGCTTCCATGCAAATCTGTTGATAGTGTTTAATTTCAAGAAATTGGTAGATTATTTCAAAAGCAACAATAATTCTTATTCCCTTAATTTTATCCCGATTAGTTATTTGATTTATTATTATAATATATGAATAAATAATAACTATAGTAATTAAATTTAGTATGAAATTTATATTCAAAAATTTAATATTGTAATACTTTTCAATAAAAATATTTGTTATTTATAACAAAATTATAATTTTTATATACTGGACAATAAGGAACTTTCATCAGAAACAAAAATATACTTTTCCAAATCAACTTTTTGCGATGTTTTTAAATGTGCAATTAGACTTTTTCTATCACTTCTAAGTTTTAATATTAATAATATTATCAAAAAATAAGTATTTAAATATAAAAAAATAATTAAAAAAAAAATTGTATTAAATTAATACTGATTTTGATTATTAATATGTTAAAAATAAGAAAAATGACATATAAACCTATTTTTTTAATCCTTTAAAGTTGATTTTTATGAATGTTTATAATTAAAAAAAATTAATTTATTACCATAATTTTTAGCTCAATTTGCAAGTTTGAAATTGACATCATTAAATAGGAAATTTTATGAGAATTAAAAAAATTGGATCGTTAAGATTAATATGCAGTCAGGAAATTTTATAATAACTATTTATAGTAAATTTATCAGAAAAGCTCAATATTTTTTTGCATTTATATCGTAATAGATAACTTAGATAGAAATAGTAGTAATCATTTTCTAGTAACTTTTGGTGTTTAAAAAGATTCTACAATTGAAATACGAACTGAATTAATTTTAATGATTTACTTTAACTAAAATAACTAATCAAAAAAAAGTTGTTAAAAAGATCTAAAAATCCATTGTTAATTCAGGAGAAATTAACAATCATTTTTTTTAGAAATGATTTAATTTTGTAATTGAAACCCATCATATCGAACTTGATTCGTCAAAAAATACTTTGAAAACATTATAAATGAATGATTTTAATTGTTTGTATGGATTAAGCTGTTTAAGGTACTTTTTATTTATTAAGGCATTTTTTTTCAATGTTTAGGGTAATATCTTCAACTAAATACAAATTGTAATCATTTGGCATATCGTTGAAAAAAGTAGGTTAATTGAGGGTTGGAAAAATAAATTGCAGCCATAAAAAAAAACTCCCCTTTTCACCATGAAGTCAAATTTTTTTTTTTTCAAATTAAAGCATATTACATAATCTATATAAGTGTCAGTATTTCCAGAACACTTTCAAAAATTAAATTGAAAATGTCCTAGTTTCAATATGCATGTTTAAAGTTCTGACCCCCTATATAAAATTATATGTTCCTATTTAAAAACAAATCTCTATCATCTAGATATCTAGATATCATATGCCTCTTTCATCTGACGAAAGAGGCATATAAAAATTATTTATAAAACAATAATAATATTAATCCATACATATTTCCAAAAGTTATAGCAATATAAATTTTAAAAAAATATAAAATCGAGAATTTTTTTACAGAAATCGTACGTTATTCTTTAATTTTTATGTCCGTTTTCACTATGAAGAAAAGTCCAGAGGTCAAATTTTTTTATTTTAAATTATAGTATAGTACATAACCTTTAATTTAAGGTATATATAAAAATGTCAGTATTTCCGAAACATTTTCAAAAGTTAAGTTGAAAGAGTTCCACTTTCTATACGCATTTTTAAAGGTTTGAACCCCCCATGTATAAAGAGAAATGGTCCGATTTAAAAAAAAAGTATGAAAGAGGTATATATAAATTATTTATCATTAATGAATACAAATGATTCATGCATTTTTTAAAAAGTTATAGCAACATAATGTTAAAAATATAAAATATAATATCAATAATTTTTTCACAAAAATAGCATATTTTTGCATACGGTAGTCATTTTCACCATGAAGACAAGTCCAGAGGTTAATTTTTTTTTTTCAAATTAAAGTATATTACATAAGCTTTAATTTAAGTTATATATAAAAGTGTCAGTATTTACGGAACATTTTCAAAAGTCAATTTTTTGTGAAAAAGTTGCCATTTTGAAACCCTTCCTGTGGGCTAGTAAGGGGTCAAATGTTTACAAAAATATATCTAAAGATAGGTAAATACCTAAGGTATCTATAAAAAAAATTATATTGATTCGATCATTTTTTAAAAAATTATGACAGTTTTAAATAAAAAAAATGTCGAAAATTAGCGATTTCTAAATTAGTAATTTTTTAGAGGATTTCCCCCGTTTACGGAGAACGAGGGAATTTTTTTCAATTTTCGAGGGTAATGTCTTTGACTCTGATATGATTTGTAATCTTTTGACGTATTTTTCATCAAAATCGGTCCAGGGAGAGCGGAGATTAAGCATTCACAGACACAAAAAAAAATAAAAAAACATATCATAGTAAATTTAATACCTTCTCAGCTTCGCATCAAAGCTAAAATAGGGGTTATTAACTTTAAGATTCCCCATTATTCATCCAAATTTATCAAATAATTGAATTGATAAACAAAAAAAGTTTGAAAACACGGTGTTGAATAAACTCAGTCTTTTTTTGTATACTAAATAGTCTATTAACTATTATTATTAAATACTAACTTAACATATTTAAAAATATAAGAGTTAATTAAAATATTTTAATTGTACACTGTTTTTTTATTTTTGTTTTTCATTTTATATTGAACAATAACAATATTTAAAAATTGCATTAACCCTCTGTCAAGGGTGTCTATGAATATTACATAGTTATGCACCCCAAAGCACATATGCTACAACATTAAAAACTTTCATTTATAATTGTTTTAAGCCCAAATTTTTTTTTTCTGATAGATGGTATATACAATAATAGAACATATAAATAAAGCATACACTTATTTTGATAACCCTTATCTCATAAATATAACTTATAATTAATATCAATCTCCATTATACTTACCCATAAGGAATCTGTATATAAAGATAAAAAATTCCGCCTTCGAAAGGACTACCAACAGGTCCTAAAATTGTGGCTTGCCAATGACACCAATGACTGTCTAAAGGTACAGCTCTTATACCTTCTGGAGGATCACCTTTTAAACCTATGAAAAAAAAATTAAGTGATATTTTTATTTTAACTGTATTAATAAAGTTAACTTTTGACTTCATGACGTAAACGTCTCCTTCTCCAAGAATTTTCTTGACACTCAGCATAAGGTCGAACAAACATGCGTCGTACACAGGATAAACATGATGAACTATTAATTCTATAACCATAAGATTTTTTTTTCTTCAATATAATTTAATTTATGTAATAAAATATTATATACTAACAAAGATGAACATATAAAATGCCAATCATCTACATTTTTGAGGGGTTTAAATAATGGCCAACATTTATCCACTAACCTACACCAAGTAGTTTGTGGAATATGAGAACGGAGAAGTTGATCCCATCGTGTACAAACTTTACTAACACACCATAGACTAAAGTCATCCAAGTATGAAAAAACAGTCAATAATACTATAAAATAAAAAAAAGTCATTAGTATATTATAACTCATATTAGTTATAATATTTTGACAAAATACCTTCAGGTGGAAGTTCTTGAAAGTAATCACTATCTCCATCAAAAGGACGTATAGCTGACATTTCAGATAGTAGCTGAAGTCGCCTTGCTAAATCTTGAGATGGTGCTGCTGCCAAATTACCTGATACATCAAGAGAAATATCTTGTATAGGACGTTGATGTCCATTATAAAATGTATCTGCTGGTTCATCATTTCCACTATCACCATCCTCTATACCCTAAGTGTTGCAAATAACATTTAAAAAATAAAGCTAAATTAATTAATAGTTAAAATATGTGAACAATGATAAATTAACATAACTCTTAATATTGTGTTCAGTGCTAATGATAAAAATATGATTTTTAAATACAAATATATTTTTTGAATCATATCTTTATAAATATTGAGTTTATTGACCAATATTGTTTACTTATTTATAATAAAAATACTTTAATTAATTTTACAAATTAAAAAAGTAGAGATCAATTAATAAAATCCCAATATATTCTTGAAAATATCAACCAAAGCTGAAAACCTAGATAAGCAATTTTTAATAGAATTGTTTTCAGATTAGAAAATATTCGCAATATTAGAATGATTTTTTAAAAAAACTTAAGGGTTAAAAAATAAAGTGAAATTTAATGTTTGTGACAAAAATAAAATTTTATTAGTAAGAGGGAATAGAAAACTATTTTATTTGAATGAAATCGGTGTTTATTTACATTTTAACAAATAAATTACAGACATAAAAATACTATTTTTTTTTTTAGTTAATACGCTCACAATAATTCACAATGGTAAAATTAAAATTGTTGCTTTAATGCATAATCTATAAATTATTTTTCATTAATTAGCTGCTTTTTTAATAAATCTGTCTTAGGATACTGCCAGTTAGAATGAGTTGATACTCAATCGTTAAAAATGTAATACACAATGTAATTTCATTAAAAATTGGAAATGCTACTACCATTGTATTAGAAACGTCTTCATGTAAAGCTTGAGATAAATCATCCGAAAAAAGAAATAAATGACATGTTTGACATATTTGTTCTTCAAAACAAGATCCATAATATCCATTACATACATGACAGTTCAATGGTTTCTAATTTAAGAAAATATTTTACGTATTTAATCAAATTTAAATAATAATAATAAATATAAAGATATTTTGAATATACCTGAAATTTTGCAACTAGTACTTTATTAACAAGATTAGTTTCTTGATCACCATATACACCTTCAGACATTTCAAAGCACCAAAATATTTGGATAATTCTAATAAATTAAAAATAATAACTTTCGAGTTTTAAAAAGTGAGCTCATTTTACATACTGTTTGAAAATTCATAAATTAAAACTTAAGAAACACATAACACATACAACACGTTACAATTGGTATGTTATCAATTAAAAATATTATTTTAAGTATTTATCTTATCTGTGTTATTTCATTAATATTTAATAGATAAGGGAGTTGAACTTTTGACAGAATTAAGAATTTAAAAATATATAGATTATTTGGTTATTTATTTTAAAAAATTTGAATAACTTTACTATTGTTGGAAATATCAAATTACATAGTTCTTAGCTCGTGATTATAAGCGAAGGCTAGTGTATTTTTAAGCTAACAAACTACGAATCTCTTTTGTTAATTATATTTTTTACCTTTTTCTTATTAACGGATACACTTATCAAATAATATTTCTATCATTCTAAAGCTAGCTATTTTCTTCCAGAAAATAAAATATTTATCGTTCAATTAGAATTTGTTAAATTTCCACTGGCAAAGGTAGCATTCATATGCTTCAACTTAGTAAATTGATTTAAAACGAATATTTAAAATGTATAATCATAACTGCCATACAAAAAATGACCGAGTGATTTTACATTGATAAATGATTGTTTTAAAATTTTTAAATAAATAAATTCATTTTTTTTTCAATATATTTCATCATATAGAAATTTTCAAACAATTTTTCTTCATTTTTTATAATTTCTTGCAAAAAATCTATTGATAAAAATACTATTTTTGAATCAATTACAAATTATAGTCGAGATTGGTAATGTTACAATCAGTATAGATAGAAATCTGATAGTAAAAATTATTTATTAATCACTAGTCAGAAAATGTTATATATTGTATATGTACCACTACTAAACTGGCGATAATGCTCAAGTGTGGATTATGATCGTATACCACCCTATCTATAGTACCCATGTTCAGTTTTTATTTGATCATCTCAATTTCAGATACCCAAGAGCACGGGTTGGGTTCTAAATTTTGGGCAATTTTACAAGCATTAGAATAAAATATGTATAATACTTTAACCAAACATTTAACAGAAATCTAATAAAATTAGAAAGGGTAGCAGTACTCCACTTTAGTTCTACAACCGTAATTAGTAGTCTCCAATGTTTTTAAATATAACAAAAATATAAATAGAATGGTAATCATTAATTTTTTGATTACTTATAGGATTTATTTAACTGTCCTAGGTCGAATAGGAAATGCTAAGACTAGTTAGCATAGAATATAATTTCTGTGTTTTTGAAATCTTTTCTTTTATCCCTTATGTGACTGGAAAGGTACCCGGGTACCTTTTCAGCTTTTAAATTTATTTTCCTTCTAAATATTTAGTATGTATGGTTAGTCCTTCTGTGACATCTCTAAATAGCATGTATAGTTAACAAATTTATATTTTGTATTTGAAAAGTATATAATTTATTATACTTAAAATAGCGTTAATTTTACACCTTATAAGGACGNTTTTATTATATTTTAAAATAGCGTTGTTAATTTTACACCTTATAAGGACGTAGTAGGTACCTGGGTACCTCTATATATTGTATTTAAATGTAGGTTTTATTGATATAAAAAAAAGTTAAATTATCATTGATAAATATTTTTTCTGGACATCAATAAAATAGATACAAATATTAAGAGAACAAAAATGTTATTTTTTACATATTTAGTAAGTATTATAACATATTTAGGTTTTTTGTTGATTGCAAGTTTCGCAAAATGATTTGTTTATTGAGTGTTCATTGCAAATAGGCTTTGAGCAAGTTGAACAAGCTTTTCGAGTTTTCCGTGGCTTATAACCCAATTCTCGACATACTAAGCAACTTCCAACTAAGTGAATACGTCCTGAAGCATCACAAGGTGGTTCATTTTTAGGAATAGCAATTATCTGTTGTATTGGCCGTCCGAAAACCATTTCCATTGAATTACGAGTATATCGATTTCCTACTACTTTGGGTATGAAGGTTCGAATTTCTATTGCAGGCATACATAACTGATTTGCAAGCTCTTTTAAAAATTTTCGGCGTCAATCAGTTGTGTTAAACCTTTGATTGTGTTCCATATATATAATATATGCAGATAAAGCAGCAATATCAATCATGTTGAAAAAAAATGCAAGTGGCCAACGATTAGTTCTTCGCTTTATTGTGTATTCTGTTAACATTTTATCCATTGTATCCACTCCTCTTTTTATCTAATTATAATATTTTATAATTTCTGGTTTAGGGGTAGCAGCTTGCATTATGTCGGCTGTCATATAAAAGAACAACAGATTTATTTATTTTTAGAACATAAGAACAAAGAATTATATCTTTTCTAAATACAAAATTTGTAGAATGTAACGCTCTGGCTTTTGATGGAAGCATTTAGGGAGGCAAGAATCTTTTATTTTTTCTGACAGTACCAACCAATGTCATATTCCAAGAGTTTAATGTAGTATCCAATTGCATACTTGTAAAAAAGTCGTCTGTAGTCACATTTCGTCTAGAACCTTTATACATCGCAACTAAGTCTAGAACTGTACGTTCACCAATATTTACTTGACGTTTACCATCTTGTGATTTGCCTGTGTAAATTTTACCATGCAAAGGGTAAGCATTTGCTGCATCGCAAGCCCAAAAAACCTTTATTCCATATTTTGCAGATTTAGATGGAATGTACTGTGTAAATTTTGTGTGTCCTCTGTAAGGAAATAATTGTTCGTCTGCTGTTATATTTTCTGTAGGTTTATAATTTTTATGCAAGTTTTTATTGAGCATGTCCAAATATCACGAATCGGTGCAGCTTTGTCTGTTGTAATACGTATATTACGAGTGTTTACATTATCAAAACGAATAAACCTTAGCAACATTTTGAATCGATCTCGAGACATTGCAGCTCGAATGAGAGGTAACGAGTCTAATTTCCACATTTCTGATACATGTTCTTTATTAGATCTATGTACACCAGATACGAGAAGAATTACATATAATAAGATATAAAGCGATAGACTGACGACAATGAAATAATTTACCGGAAAAGCACAGATAACTATATTGTAGGTACCCGGGTACCTACACCGTCATAAGAAGTTGTTTTTTTTTTTCAGTCACATAAAGGTTAATATTGCAAGTGCAATATCATCGGTGTATTTATTTTTTAAATTCAAAATACTATTTTATGCCTATAACTATCATACATAGTATGCATAGACTAAATTCATATTTAAAAATAATTATAGTTTCACTTTATGAAACACTTATGGCAAAAATTAAATTGGCAAATTCTTGGTATTTTATTATTTAATTTAAAATTTAACATGAAACATACTTGTTTAATATCACATAGTTGTTTATCATTTTAAAACATATATACAAGCGCATAAAAAATTTAGTATTATGAATTAAAAAATACATTAACGGTTTGTAAGAAAAATAAGAGTCACTTATTAAATTAGACAACAATATTTTACATTTGTATACAGAGTTATGAACGAGAAGAATTGCGCTTAAAATGAATTTTTAAAATAAAAAAATTAAAAACAAAATAAACAGTGAACGGTTAAGAAATGAAAAGCTATACACAAATCATAATTATTAATTTTACTAAATACATTACATATAATTATATTATGTAAAAAAATAAATATTTACAATTGCTGTTCGATAATCGAATCTAACTAAGTAGAATTTAACATATTTTGGTACAAGATAAAAATAAAAAAACTATAATTCCTAAGGAAAAACACATTAAAACAATATCCATTATAATGCATTTCTTAAATTAAGTTTTTAAAAACTTTTGGTTCAACATTAAATTTTTAATGTGAAATATAATATGGTTAGGAATTGTTCCTAGGCCTTCGTTCATAATCTCTTCTATAGTCTGAAACAGGAGGATGCCAGTCATTGGGTACAGCATATGGGGGCATATTAATATAAGATGCAGAGTTTGAGCGGCTGTATAATTCAGGAGCATAAAAACCAGCAGCTGCTTGACCATATGCAGCATATGCTTGTTGATACCTATTAAATTTATTGCATATTTTAAACATAATATTAACTTAACACGTTTATTGTACATACCTAATTTTTTCATACATGCGCAGGTCAGAATCATGCTCTCTTTCTCGATCTCGAAATCCTGAACGGTTGCGGTAACTACTATCATATCTTTCCCGCCTAGTACCAGAATCTCTACTAGAGGAAAACCTTTACAATGTAAGTTCCAGTTAATATACTTTATATCATGAAAATATTATTTAAAAGCTTACCTGCGGCCTTCACTTCTTGAATAAGGAGTGCTTCTATTTCTATGATGATTATAACTATTATCATACCTATTAGTTCCCTGTTCATAGGATCTAGAGGGATTATTTGAAGAATTACTTGAACTAGGTGGAGGAGAACCAGTTGTAGTAGTACCAGTTTGAAGAATACTAGAATTACTTATTTGAGTTGAATTAAATTTTGGTTTTTTATGCAATTTATCAATATCATCAGTTTCGCGAGGTTTTCTTTTAGTAAAATTAGGGGAATCTTCTGAGTCCACCTAAAACAAAAATGTGTAAAACACATGCAAAAAAATAATAATTTTGTTCATTTTAATACAAAAGGTTAAGAATTTTACATTTTTATGAATTTTTCTATCATCTTTATACTTGTCTTTTTTCTTTTTATCTTTAATTTTAATTTCTTTTTCATATTTTTCATTTGTGTGCAATCCTTTGCGGTAAATTTTGAGTAGTTTTTTTGAATCAAACTCGGTGAATTTTGAGACAAAAAACCATAAATTACTAAAAAATTTTTATTTTATTTTTCAAATAATTTTTTTATTAAATTAATTATTTTTAAGGTTTAAATTGTATTAAAAAAAAAAAAATTAAGTATTACTTAAAATTCATTTAAATACCTTCTCCATTCCCTAATTTTATCAGGATCTTTGTATTCTTCTAAACATTTTCCTATGTGTGAGCCTATTTCTATTAAACACTCTTGCATGTGATTGACATAACGCGATTCATTTTTTTTTTCTTCAGGATCATCTAAGGCTTTCAGTACTTTTTTAACGGGGCGCATTTTTTCTTTGCACTATAAATAATAAATAAATTTAACTGATTTACAAAATATATTAAAAAAAAAAAAAACTGTTAATAATTTGTCATACAAAATAGTACAATTAATTCCAGGGCCCAGAATTTCAAGTAATCATAAAATTTGTTATTGTCATTCAAAATGTATATTATTGATAAATAATTATTAATATCTTTTTTGGTTTTCCCAATAAAAATCATGATTGTCATGATTTTGTAGGGACTTTCTGCCTAACTACGTTAAACTTGTATAACTATAGTAGTCTTAATGCAATACGGTCGTCACTTAAGGGAGGACATGACCTCTGGAAAATATATGATTATATATCATTTTTAAATTTTTTTAATTATATAAAATATTTTTAAATAATTAAGAAAAGATGAAAAAAAAAAAAAACATTGTGACCCATGGAATTTGAATCTGTAAGCCATTTCAGAGAACCATTAACTTTTAATAGTTATTTTTACATTATAAACTTTAAGCTCAAAAATTGAGAAAAAAATTTTTGTATCAAGTTTCTATGGTGTTTTTACAACACACATGAAAGATACTATAGCAATACTCTTGAAAAATAAAATGAAAATTCTAGACTACATTATTTAGAATGATAACAAAAATAACAAATAAGGCACCTAGAAATGAAGAGGTCAAAGTGACAAAAAATTAATTCTAAGATAACTGAATTAAAAAAATTATTTACAGTATTTTTTCAATGTTTAGAAAATAACATGGCAATTAATGGCAATTTGTTAAAACAAAATCATTATTATTAATAACCAACTTCAATGAGTGATTAATTTACTTTTAACTTTATTTTTTCGAAATGTTACATTATCCTTGTTAGCATCTGTGTATTTCAAAACATTGAAATGGAAGGGTTAAATTTTGAAAATTTCGACTACTTACTTCTAAGAAAATATCTTTTGGCAATTCAACAATATCATCAACATTAACAGCTTTTGGTTCACTATTTGCTGTAAAATGCATGGGTCCTGATTTATTTATAGTTTTTCGTTTTTTTTCTTTTTTAGGAGAAGAACCCATTCCTAATTTTATATTATTTAGATCTTTTTTAACTAACAGTTTATCATCATGACTACTATTATTTTCACTTTTTTTCTTTTTTGAACTATTATCGTTATCACTACTATCATCTTCAACTATTTCTTTGGATTTACCTTCTTTAATTTTACGAATTTTTTTTGGTTTAAGTTCACCTTTATTAACAATTTGATTTTTTTTTAACATTTTCAATAAATATTCTGCTCGAGCTAATAAATGTTTAGCTTGTGGTTTCTTGTCTTCATTAGATAAAATTTTATCACTAAGACCTAAAGCAGTATCAATTTTTATTGCTTCCCATGAACCTAATCCATAAAGATAAATTCCTTTTAATAGCTTTGAATCATCTGATATTTCCCAATCAAAATCAAAATTAGCGGATTTCACACGTTTTAAATCTAATGTCCACTTCATTCTTTCTTCTTCATCTAATGGTATTATTTCATCCAGAACATCTAATTCTTCACTACAAGCTAATACACTTTTAGCATTTACTGCAACACCTCCTAATTTGATTGAAGGTCCACGATTTCTTTTTTTTGTGCCATCTTCAGTTACAACTTCAGTTTCTTTATGGTTTTCTTCATTGCATGCTTCATGACAACGATCATATAGCATTTGTATGAGTTTTTTTAATTCAGACTTAGGCTTATCCTGTAAATCAGCATCACCAGCAACTGCATCTATACGCTTTAAAGGATTTGGGAATCGTTTACAGCTCTTGATAAGCTTTCGAATCTATAATAATATAAATAAGATTTAATTATATTAAAATTAATAACATGAAACATTAGCAAGAACATTAATAACTTTTGAGAACAATAATAATAAAATCATATTGATGTTTGATAAGCTCATTTTTTTTCATTAAAATTAATTAAGGCAAAATCAATTTCATCATTTAGCATGTCCTAATTATAGACATAGATACACATAATACAAATCTAGTGTGATATTGACATTTCTCGGAGTCTTGCTAGCCTGAGTCACTCAGGTAAGCACAATCATTAAACTTGAAATGACTTTTATAAGGCAATCTACAGACCCTTCAATATAGTTTAGACAAAAAGAGTGACTATTCATTAGCCACAAACAACTTCTAAACTATACTCATTAATGAATGATTATGACAGGAAATTTAAATAAAAATAAAAAGATTTTACATTTTCTTAAAAAAAATAAAATGCTTACTTCAGAATCAGAAAATCCTTTAACAATTTCTTTTGTGCCAACACGTGGTCTGCCTCTTTTTCGTGGTTGATCGTCATCACTTCCATCATAGCTAGAACCATCAGATTCACCACTTTTTTTAGATTTAGTACCTCTTCCATCAGCTTGATTAGCATTTTGTAAAGTTTTTCTACTTCTAGGAGGTAAATAAAGATCTTCCATTTCTTTGGCTTTTTCTTCTTCTTCCACCTTTTTTCTTAATGTTTCAGGAATAATTTCCTCCTAGTGATTTTTAAAGCCATTAAACATTATATATTACATTAATTACGTACATAAATTTACTCCTGATAAAATAAGACATAATAAAATATAAAATTTTTTTTCCAATACATATGATTTACTTGAGCTAAATAAAAATATAAGTATACTAGCTTTTGCAAACAGTAGTTATTTTCTTTGAAGATAACAATTGGAAAAATTTAGAAGTTGAAGTCAATAATTTAGGTCAATCAAATATCTAAGAATAATATACAAAAAATAATCAACAACTAAATTATAAAAAATTTGTGTACATTCCTTTCTTAATAAAATAAAAATATTTTTAATTATCATAGGACACTTAAGTTATACTCTAAAATGTGTAATGTTAAGAAAGCAAAACATTGCCAAATTAACTTTAAGATATTGAATAAAATAAAAATTAAAAAATATTTAGGAGTAATAATTAATGAATACGACATCACTTTAAAATCATAACAACCCATTTGAGAAAATATTTCAGTATCTTTAAAGAAATTTGTCAAATTTTATACATTAACTAAATAAAATTTTATTATTTTGTTATAGTACAACTCAATATTAAACTATATTATTGAATGGGTTCTGTACATTAATATGCACTTGACTAACTTATGATAATATATAGAATTTTGATTAGAATCATATCAAAACAATACAGATGTGATATTTGAGAATTAATTAAACTATTAAAAAAAATTCAAATTTTGACAACTTTATTAAAAAAAAAAGTAATAAGCAGCTATTTTGTCAGAGCTTGTTCATAATTGCATCATTATGTTTTAGTATAACATTGTAATATTAAAAAAAGTTTTAAATACTATACTCCTACTCCCACAACAAACATTGTTTCTTGTAAGTAGTAATTAAAATTTTATTAAATGTTTTGCTATTTCTTAAATAAAATAAATAAAAATGTTACCCAGTCTTTATTTTCTTGATCATTTTGACCACTGGGAGATAAGTCATCAGCTATATTTTTTTCTTCATCAAAAGTAAAACTAGCTACTTTAAAAGCTGATAAGAGTTCATCACCAACAGTAGCAGGAGCTTCATCACGGGTTTCAGCTCGCCTTAAAATCTCATCAATATCACACTAAAAATAAGTTTAAGCAATGAAAAATAAAAATTGATTGCGAATATGTATTCTTTTGTAAAATGTAAGTTACCAAAGGTTCTTCATCAGCACCTGGTTCATCTTTGAATAATTCTTCAGCACCAAATTTTAATATTGCAGTTAGTTCATCTTTATTAAATGGAATTGAAGAATTTTTGGCTTTTTTGTCTAAAACTGTACGACCTGTAGTATCCATTCTTTGAATCACTAAATGATCCAATACCATTTTTTGTTTGGCTCTTTCTACAATATCCTCTTCGACTGATCCTTTAGTTACAAGTCTATAAATGTTAACTTGATTTTTTTGTCCAATTCTATGAGCACGAGCTTGAGCTTGCAAATCATTTTGAGGATTCCAATCAGAATCAAATATAATAACTGTATCAGCAGTGGCTAAATTGATTCCCAACCCACCAGCACGAGTAGATAATAAGAAACAAAAATCTTGTGACCCTTCAGCATTAAAGTGTTCTAGTGCTTGTCGTCTAATATCACCTTTGATACTACCATCTAATCGTTGAAAAGGTAAATGCCGGTAGCTTAAGTATTCAGCAAGGATATCTAACATTCGAACCATTTGCGAAAAAATTAGAACTCGATGGCCAGTTTCTTTAAGACGCACTAATAGTTTGTCAAGAAGCATAAGCTTTCCTGAACCTCGTAGTAAACTCTAATAAAAAAAAAAAAAAAAAAAAAAAAAAAAA